CCCCTCCTTCCCGCCCGCCGCTAACGGCCATCAACGGCTGCGCCAGCGCAGAGGGAAAGGGGATAAAACGCCGAGGAAGCTGGAGGCGTGAGGTGGCTCTTACAGCGGGGATGGAAGGGCGGTGACGCTTATCGTTCTCGCTGAGCTGGGCCGCGGCGTGCTCTGTGTTTCGGGGGAAGCTCGTGTCCTGTCAGTGTAAGCACTGAATCAGAATGAGTGGATTTAAGTAGCCTCTCATGAACCCCAAGTCCCGTGAGGAGCTTCTTGCCGGTAGGCCTTGATAGTGTCCAAATGACAGCTTGATTGTCTTTGCTCAAGCCCTGAGAGGTGACTACGATTTTGCACTGAAGGTGTTCATTTCAGATTTTTAATAGATAACACTGAAAGCAGCAAGAACGTAGTTGCCCATTTTTTTACTGGGGTTTACTGGATAATTTTACTCAGTCTTACACAGCAAAAGCTAATGCTGAGGTCTGGGGGATCTTTATGCTGCTGGATGATGACCCAGCCAGGAGTTGCACTGACTGGGAGCTGCAGGCATGTGTTGCAGCCGCTTCGCGAGTGACCTTGTCACTGATAAAGAGTTACAGATTATCCACAGAAATACAAAAGATGCTGTTTGTATGGGAGAACTGAGCAAAGTCTACCTAAGAGTGTGAATCTTGATTGGCGTCCCAGTATTTGTGGCCTTCCGGTAGAGTCAGCTGTAGTGAATTTTGTCACGTTTGTAAGTGAAGTGTTGAGCAGCATGTGTTAAAATTATGCTTGGCACACAGAGATTATTATTACTTACTTTAACGTACCCTTTTTCTAGCTTGATGAAATTGAGGCCCTTTCATCCATATATGGTGAAGACTGGTGTATTGTTGATGAAGATGAAAAAATCTATTGCATTAAGATCAGTGATTGTCTGGAACAACCAAAATGGACCCTCTGTCTGCAGGTATAGTATTGTTAAAGAGTTTGGCACAGATTATGCTGTTGGTTAGAGCTTGTGTCTGCATGAAACCCTTTTAAATAGGATTCAATATGGATCAACAAGCTTCTGGATCAGAGTGCTTCATAGACTTCTCAGTGATGGTTCCTGTAACACATCAGTGTGCTTGTAACATTTTATGTAACGTTGCATAGCCTAATTCCACACCTGTCCAAAACTAATTTAAGTGGTTTTCCGCAAGTCTCCTCTTTAAATTATTTTTTTACATTGGCTTTGCATAGGAAAACTGAGTGAACCAGCTGCAGCTGCTTCTAGACATACTTTCTATGAAGCTTGGAGACAAACTGAAGTCAGATCATCTTAACTGAGTAACTTGCTACTGTGTGTTTACAGCACTGAAAATAGTTTTATTTAGAGGAAGTAACTCTGAAGTGTCTAATTATAGAAGTACAGAGCCCCTTAAATAAATCCAACAGCCATGCATGTAGCTCCTTCCAAGTTTCTTTTGCGCTTTTATTTACATATTTCATCCCTAAAGATTACTTTATGAAATATATTATTTGTATGTATAACAGTTATTGGAATTCTAAATATAGACATAAAGGTTTTCGTCATTCTGTAACAACAAAGCCAACTATTTTCTTCATTTGGAACACTAATTGTTACCCTAATGCTCCGCATCAGAGTCTATAAGTACAGCTCAGGTAGTTGAGAGGAGTAGTCCAGTAAATATTTACACCGAGTTTCTTTCAGGTAGTTTTGCCTCCAGGATATCCAGCTGCAGAGCCGCCTATTTATCAGCTAAAGTAAGTGAAATTTCTGGTCAAGAATTTTTTTCTTTTTAAATGTTTATATCTCTTTTCTGAATTACCACTTTAATTGTTTAAAATGTAAGTTGAAGTTCGGTTAAGATGACTCCTTGAATTAAAATATCCTGGGGATGGGGATGTTTCAAGCAGGAATATTTACTTTTTCTTCCAAGCCTGCCTCATGGAGCTCTTAACGATAATTCATTTTCTTCCCTCAGAAGTCTTCTTGGGAAAATGTTATTTTGTTGCAAGGCAACAATTAGACTGTGGCAATATGATGACTGTTGCTTGTTATGTTGGATGCTGATGTCTCGCTGTTTCCTTGAGTACCCCTCTTTTCTGGATCCTTCTTTCAGATTATCGGGCATGTTTTTTGTCTGAGCACTGACTCGTTTGGGGTGGAACCAAGGACACAAGCCATTTTACTCTTTTCCTTCCCTGCTCCTCACGTGCCTTGGTTCCTGTAAGAAGGAAGTCCTGATATGTAAGCCAAAAGGCAATGGAGACGAGCCAGCCAGATCCCTGATTCCAATGACAGAGGGACCAAGCCTGCGTGGCGTGATACAGAACATGTCTATCAGCGTTTTAGTTTATTGCTAGGACAATAGAAGATAGTGATGGTAGACTTGAGACTGAGTATAGTTTAATGTGAGACCAGGAGGATCTTCAGTACAAAACTGAAGGGTCACTGTAAATGTAAGAGGTGCTATCGTGCTGAAGGAGCCAGAAAAGAAAGCTAGTAATACACAAGGCGACTCTGGAGTGACAGTGGCCTACAGTGAAAAATGAGTCCAGCTTTCTTACCTGAGGTGGGCGTAAGTCCAAAGACTGAGTTTTGAAAGGAAACTACATGCTCCTGGTTTTACCAATATTTTTAAAAGTGAAATCATGTTCAGCACGAATGTTTGACAAAAGTTTGCTTCTGTGTTTTCTGTCACGTTTATTTTAAAACGAACATTTGTTGATCTCAGTAGAGAGGCTGGAATCAGTGTATGGGTACTATTTTCATTGTATGTCTTTTCATCCTAGTGCCTCTTGGCTTCGAGGACAGGATTATGTGGAACTAGCAAATAGCTTGGAAGAAATATACGTGTAAGTGATAGACAGTGGAATATATTAAAAGGAGACAATGGATTTCCAGTTTCATGTCATGCTCTATGTGTGTTTTTATGTACCGAAAATGATTATTGCCATACAAAAGTAAGTTTATTTTATAAATCAAAGAGTCAAATATGCTGTATATTTACTGTACTTAACATTTTGTGAGAACTAAGTGTGTTAAATCCTCAGACTTATTTCTTTCATGTTGTTTAGACCTGGGGCTCTTTATGGATAAAAGCCTTCATTTTGCCTTCTAATCTGTGGTCCTTTAGAATTTATGAGATTCATAAAGAATCTGGTGCTATGAAGTGCAAGATTTCTCCATCTGTTATGTATTTGGATATTAAACTGTAAGATGTGAAAATATTTGTTGATATCTTAGAGCAAAGAGGCAAAACAATTTTGTATTAAAAAGCAGTATTTCAGTTAAGGAATGAGAGCATTTTTAACATAAATTAAACCACATGTAGAATCTATTAACTATAAAGTAACAGAGACAGTTTATTATCCCGGCGTGCAGCTTAGCAATAACTCATAATGCATGAGAATAAACATAACATTTAGAAATACTCAAATTATATGAAGTGCTGTGAAATTGAGGTAATTACCGTAGTAATTGTATAGAGTTTATTTCATCCTTTTAGATGCCAAAGATGATATAGACTAAGTGAAACTGAAATATGTCATAAGTGAGAATGGTTATGCCCAAAATACTGAAATCTGAACATAAATATTAATTTTTTTATTGGCATACTATAAGACAGACAGTACTGTAGCTTGGATGAGGGTTTTTTTATCTAATTACTCCATTGCCTTGGGTAACTGAGTTTCTTAATTAAGTAGCAGACAATTTAAGCAAGCAAAATAGAATTTGAAGTTTTAAAAATGGAAAAGGATTCCCAGTAAAAAGTTATGTGGGATCATATTAACCACAAATATTCAGTGGTGCAGAAGGAACAGAGATTGACCGTAACTCTCTGCTTAGGCACCTGAGTTGCAGGAGTCTCTACAAAGGGTAGAGCTGCTGCAGGTTTTTCCTGTACTTTGTCCTGAGCATCTGGAGCAAGTTGCCACATAACGACTGCAGTGAGGAATAGTGTACTTCTGAAGCACTCTTCTTTGCAGTGGTCTTGTAGATTGTGTAAATTATGCTGTTAGGTCGGTCCCTGGGAGCTTTGTTTTGTCTGTATCAATTGCTGTTGAGAAGCCTCCCTGCTCTCCTGTTATTTTTATTTATTCAGCAGAAAATGAATGTGTTTCTACATTAGGCTGTGTATGTCATTTTAGACTGTGTTTCAAACCACGACCTCCAATGTAATGTAACGCTAGCTCAGCTTAAACTAAGTGTTGCACTCCTGCAGTAGTCACTGATGCACAGAGTATTCCTTGAAAGTCTTTGATCTATCCAAAGGTCTGAGTAATTATCTGGATAATTATCAGGTAAACGTAGGTGCTCTGCATGGTAACATAGGTACTCTGCATGATTTGCAGGTGTTTTTTTTAGCAATTGTTTAAGTGGTCTACCTGGCTTCCAATCCCTAATGATCTAGACTACCTACTTTTGCAATCTAAGACAATTTGAACTACACTGTCAGTCACTAGTCTTCATAATGAGGTGGGAGAAGCAGATATTACAGATCACAAGTCAATTTGGGGAGACCCGAAGAACTTAAAAATGTAACAAATATGTGGATTTTTTTAATATTCTCAAGGTAAAAATTTTATTCCAGTACAAAGCTTTGTTTCAAGACTTAGATACCTAAGTGACAAGAAAAAAAGCAGCGTAGAAAGATGACCTTTAAGACTAAGTGTAACTTGTTAATAATGAATGAAAGTTGAAATTGGGTTATAACAGTAGAAATTGCTAGTTACTTGCTCACAGCAGAGAAATCATATTCATGCTCTCTCCTATTCCAAAGCATTTCCTAATAACAACTCCATATTGAGAAATATGCTATGAGATAGGAAATGGTATATATATTTCAGAGAACTACTGTGAAGTTTAATTCTTGATTCTGTAGTTAAAATGTTATAATTAAAACAAATATAATTCTTCATGTATTGAAATGGTGCTTCTATATGATAAGCAGAAGCATGAAGTAGGGCACTGACTTGTTCTGGAATCTTTCCAGATTTTGACAGTCCAAATTTGACCAAGCTATAATCCTTACTGTTCCTTGAATATTTTTCTTGAAATACGTATATCTTTTTGAATTTCTGATTTTATTCAGCAATAGTGCTGTGCACGATTAGCAAAGTAAGCCTCTAAATATATAATGTTGTTATGGATCTGTACTTACATGTTGCCCCAGATGGTGGCAGTAAGTGTAAAATTTTTAATGAGAATCTGTGAGTTAGCTAAGGCTCTGAATCTTCGGTTTTGCTTTTCAGACAAACATGAACAACTCGTATCAAAATATTGGGAAAATAACTTTTTGGGACACTGTTTTAAACATATTTTGGGTTGTTTGGGTCCTGCTGTGCACAAAGGCAACACTTCTTAGCTCTGAACCTGCACATAAAAAGCATATGTTTATGCTGGTGCCCCCTACGTAAGGACTCCCAGACGTAAATCCTTACCTCTCCTCCCTTTCTACAGGACTGCTCCTCACCCAAACTCTAGCCCATCTATCCAGTGCTCCATTTTGTCTACTGCCACTGCTGTACTCTGCAGTCCAGCAAACTCAACCCCAGATGTGTGTTCTGAATGCGTGAGTGGGAAAAGAGGGGCACCTTTCCAAGGAAGAGCCACTGCAAACATAAAGGGGGAATACTCTCCTACAGCCACAGAGCAGCTGAAGGAGCTCACCACTGGCAGTACAGCACTTTTTTGTAGAGAACAACTGACCCAAAGAAAGCTCTGAGGCTAGACACCCTCGCTTAGGATTCTTTCAAAAAATTACTCGATAGGGGAGATGGCACCACTTACCCTTTTCTCAGTTGCTTTCACTTTTCTCTGTGGCCAGTTTCCATCAGTTGCCTGTTTTCCTCCATCGTTGATGCTTTTAATGTCAAAGCAAGCCGCAAAGACAGTATCTAATGATGCAGATGTCAGCTGTTTCATGCAGTGAACTACCTAAACAGACCTTTAAAGAAGCCTGTCGAAGTTCTTTATCTCGCTAGACTATAATGTTCTATTTTTGCTTGTCTGAAATCTGCATGTTATTTAATATAGATACTTTCCAAGTGGAATCTTCAAAAAAAGGATTCTTATTCATTGTGAATTTTAAATAACTTCCAGACAGAACCTTGGTGAAAGTATTCTTTATTTATGGGTGGAGAAGATACGAGAAGTTCTGATAGAAAAGGCACAGTCATCAGATCCGGGTACTTCAGAAAATAAGTATTTTTTTTATTTACTTCTGGTTTAATTGCAAAGTAGGATTTCACTGTGACTTAAAGCTTTATATCTGGTTTTGTATTGGATCTAGATAAAAGATAACAGCAGTCTCTAATTTTATGGCTTATTTTTTTGGCACAATGATTTTCCTTTTTAAAAAGCAATGGGAAAAAAAGAAAAGGGGGAGGGTCTCAGTGGACTAGAAGAAGGATGTCACTCCTCCTAGGAATAAAATTACTTCCATGATAGCAGAGTTCAGTATAGCAGGTACATCGTGCGCTGTTCTCTATTCTGTATCAGTCATTCATAGCAGTAGTTAAACTTCTGGTGTTGAGTACGCTCTTGGATGATTGGGAATAGCCTAAAGAGAAGAGACACTTCAGTGGAATATGCAGACACATGATTGTATTCTGTCTCAGTTGCGTTCTGCTATATTGGGATGAAAACGTGCATGATCACTAGAGTTGCAGTGATTCTTCTACTGTTGCAAGGAGGTACACACTGTTGCTTACAGTGACAGAATTTGTGTAAATTCACAGTCATTCTTTTGAAAAGCTTTTTTCTTTTGCATTAAAGTGCTAATCTGCTATTAAATGCATGAGAGACGTACATATATGCACTTTTGGCAAAAGGAAACAAATGTAAGAATAGCTTAGTTCCTTGAGGAGTAAACGACTGAAGAGAAAAAACAGTTTTCAGTGCTTCTTCCTAGTAAGGTCTAGTTTTACTCTTTTAATAAACTGTGCATTTTGGTGCTACATGAAAAGAATTCTAAAAATCATTTCTCATTGGCATGACTAAAGGAATAGTTATTGGAAAGTGAAAGTTTTAGTGACAGTATTGGAAGTTTGTTGGGTATGTGGATATTATGGCTTCTGCTTCAACTAATAATTTTTCTAGGCCTTTTTAGCATGCTCTGTTGCATCTCTTCTTTTTTATTGGAAAACACCTATGTTACAAAAACTGCATCATAGGCTCTCTAAATAGATAACTAGATTGTGATATACTAACTTGTCTGTATGGTAGACTCTCTCTAAATCCAGTTGCCTGAGCGATGGAAGTGTATGATATTTAGCCTTTTGCTAATATTTATTTGTTATTTTGCATATGTCCTTTACATGAAGCAAAATACGACTGCAGAACTCCTAGAGCAGCTGAAAAATGTCCAGAGAGATGTTTCAAATTTAATGGTTTCATAATCTTGTTCAGTAGCATTGAACCATAGCTTTACATTTTTCCAGAAATGACCAACAAATGACTGAAGCACTCTGGACTGAAGACTATTTTGGACTCTAAATTCAGATTAGATTAACAGTCACAGTGTAAACATTTAATGGAAAATGTAAACGTTGATGTTCTTTTTGTCTTAGAAATAGTGTTAATTAGTATTAAAACAGAAGATATTATGTAACTGATTGCACGTGGATCCCATACCATGAGTATTCTATTCCTAATTCTAGGCGTGATTTTAGCTAATGCTGGACTAAACATTTCTGATTTTACTGTAATTAATATTATCATTCTGCGTTTTGTAATTTGAGGAAAAATTACTGGAAATGTTGTATTGATTATTCTCCAAAAAATGTCTTCATAAATTCTACTACTATGTTAGCAGAACCAGATATTAAGAAAGCTAGTGAAGAAGTTGATGAAGATAATGAAAATGGTTTTCTCCTGGATTATCAGCCGGTTCAGGAAGATTCAGTGAAAATGTTGAATTTTATTACCTCTGAAAGCCAGGAAGGTAAAAAATATTTCCTTTTTAATTCTGATGAAATCGTTTGGAAGAGAGAGGCCTTAAGTTTCTATTTTTCTGCTCACTGTTTGAGTAATGCAAATCAATAACATTAAAAATTACAATAAAGATTAACTATTACAAAAAACTGCATATTTTTGGTGGTTCTGTATGTGTGCTTGTATACTTAAATGAGTCCCTTTTTTAAAGTTAAGGCATTCTTTACTTATGTAGCCATATATATTGTTCCAGTACCCTAAAAAGAAAAGAAACGTTTCCTTGTTTGTGTTCTGTAGATGAAGAACTGCCATCGATACATCATGGAAACCCAATCACAGACCGAAGGAGTACCTTCCAGGCACATCTGGCTCCTGTGGTGACACCTCGACAAGTTAGTAGAGATTGAGGAACAGGCTCTTACAGGTTTTTTGTCTATCCTTTGACAAAACGTTACTGAAATACTTGGAATTAGCTGCATGTTTATTTCTTTCTTTGTATCTTTATGGGCTAATATTGTCTGAGTACTCATCAGTTATTGGCTTTCGTTATCAGCTAAATAATTACTCTACAATGCTTCCCAGTAGTTTTCCAGTTTTATCGTTGAAGTGGGTTGTTATTGCTATTTCTTCCTGTGAAGTGCCTTACGTGTAAGAGAGAGAATAAGAACACTGATATTTGCCTTTTGGATGTTAATAGCTTGTCATATGATACTTGGAAGCTACTGGACCTGCCATATGCCGCTTGGAAAATGAATTAAAATGATTTCATGACTCTCTTTCTAGAGAAAACATTTTATAGAAAAATAAACTTGAATAAAATGCATAAGCAAATCTTCATCTGGAATTAAGTGAGAGAGGTCAGCATGGTTGTACAGTTGTATTTGCCTACAATCAGTGGGAATGTCTGCTTTAGTTCATGTCAATCAGTGCAGCTGTCTGTGGTAGGGACAAGTAGTGGATGTATACCCAGGTGGGCTAGCCATATTTTGTTTCTCGTCATACATCCCATCTTTCAGCAATTTAACACAAGACAAAGAAGGCATCCTCGTGTTTAATACTCCTGATTTTTTTTTCTTTTTGTTTTTTCTTTTTGTTTGTTTGTTTAGGGAAATTGTTTCCTTGCTTTTTGAACCAGAATTAACTTTCAGAATCCACAACTTCATATGAAAATGCACCTTCCTGTGTTTACTGTGATCGGTTCATCATAATTTCATTTGTTGTCCCCTTACTGTTTGTCATGGCACAGAAACTAAATAATAATTACCTCTTACTTCTTCTATGCAGTTGAGTTTTATAGGTGTCTATCATATTTTATAGACTTTAGTTTCCTATTTTCTAGGCTGAAGCGCCCTGATCTGTTTTGGTACTTCTTATGTGGAGGTGATTCTGTACGTGTATTTATTTTCCTTCTGCTTATTTCCCTTCTATATACTTTTTGAGATGCAGTCCGGAATTATACACAACATTCAAGATGCAATCACACCAAGGACTTAGAGTGATGTGAAGTTTTCTCTTTTCCATGTTCTTTTCCTAGTAATACCTTTCAGTTTGCTTGTTTGGCCTCTACTGAGCACTGATCCTGATATTTTCATAGAAATGTCTGCCATAACCTCAAGATCTCTTTCTGAGATGAGTTTGGAGTTGCCTTTACATCGTTTTGCCTTTATTAACGTGATCTCCATGGGTGATTTCCACTTAGTCTGGAAACTACTGATCTACTCACCTTTTCTTACCATTAACCAAGTTTTAATGATAAGAAAAAGAGGATTTTCATCTTTACTTTTATCCAGTTCTTCCTTTTATTTGAAGAATCTTTGGCGAGGGACCTTGTGAAATGCTTTTGGAGATTCCAGGTAGACTAGATCAACTGGACGCACGTGGCTCAGTGACTGTGAAAGATTGTTGACGCGTTTTTGAGGCATAATTTCCTATACAAAAGCTGTATCTTCCTTTTAATGTGATATGGCTGTCCATTGATTCTGTTTTTTGTTTCACCTTCTGTTAGTTTGCCTAGTAGGAACGTAAGACTTGTTGGTCTTAACTTCCCTGACTCCTTTCTAGAGTACTTTTGAAATGTTGGTATTATGCTAGTCACCTTGCATTCCTCTGCTGCAGAAGCAATTTTAACTGGTAGGTTAGATACCTTAGTCGTAGTTTGATAGCTTCATTCTCAAATTCCTTTAAAACTTTTGAATAAAAATGTGATCTGATTCTACTGATTTTTTTCCATTCGTTTTATCAGCTTGTTCTAAAACCTAGCTTTGCAGTAAGTCGCCGCCACTATGTCATCTTTGTCTGACCATTTAAGTTCACAAATGTTAACGCAACCGTTTAGTTTTTGTGCTACAGCTATATGTTTGAGTGTTTCTTTCATACTAAACTTATGTGTTGGCAATACAAATTTTGGGTAGGCTTCCGTTTCTTATGTGTTTGAAAAAAATATCCTTATTACTTTCATTTTGACACCTCCAAAAAGTTTGGCTTGCCTCGGTATGCTTGTCATGTCTATCTTGCCATCTATGCCTTCTTGTTATGTTTTTCTTTATTTGGATACAACTTTAGCTTTGTGAACCCAGCTTCAGGTTTCTTGAGCTGTTCTTTCACTGTTTGTAATGTGAAAGTAATTATGTTTTTAGGCTTATTATGGAATAAATCAGGGTTTTAAAACACTCCCTTACATTAAACACTCCATTACGTTTTCATTAAAGTAGCGCTGAACTTCAAGGGTTTTCTCAGCTGTGCTCAGTCCCTATGAACAGCGTTGCTTCAGAAGGGGAGGAAATCAGAATCATTGGCCTATCTCCTTTTCTCCTTCTACAATACTGTTGCTCATTGATGATGATTTATGGGTAAGACAGTTGCTACTTAGAGGAAATCCATACCAGCAGACATAAGTTTCCAAAAGGGCATATCTGTGTCAAGAAAGAGTATTTACTTAAAGCAGGTTAGTAATTTTACTTTTGCGTAAGAAGACATTCTTAATTTCTTCTTTCTTTACTTCTCTTTAAAGACAGCATAACTCAATAGACGTAGGAATTTCAGGTCAGGACTTCTTGGTATATGGTGAGTATAAAGGTAGAGCACTTCCCCAAAGGTCAAATCCATCTTGTTTCATTGACTCTTGCTGCACAGTGAGACTTGATCGGTCTCCAGACTGCGGGGCACTTTTGTTTTGGTATGGATTCATTTTTCTGAAAGAAAGCCAGGAAGGGTGAAGAGCAGGGTAGAAATTGCACCTGTAATGAAAACTACCTTCTTTATCAACTGTGAAGGGGTTAGTATGTGTCCTTAATACTTTATCTGCATCATCTGTATGTTGTAATGGCATTGATTTTCTGTACAGTCCATAGACTGCTGTGTAAATTCTTTTATTGAATATTTTTTATAATGGAATTTCACTGCTACTGTAGATTTCAGTGACAGCCAGAGTAATACTATAGTTATTTATATAATACAATATGCTACCATAAAACATATGGGAAAAGAAAGCGATAGGTATATTTCAGGTAGCAATCTAGACTTAGTACCATTGCTCTTCCTTGTCTACTTTTGGCTCATTCTAATGCTTAAAATGTACATTGTTCTTGGATTTTTTCACTGAGGAATCTTATATTTGAGGTAATTTTTATAGGTTGTTACTTGAATTTCTTCCGGAAGAATTGGAAATGGCATAGTATAGCTAGGACAGATACTAAATGTGTAAATTGATTACTCCTCAGAGACATTTTCCTTTTGAATGGAAGGCAATTTGCTTGTCTGGCATGTTTTCCCAAGCTTTCTCAACTTCAGTAGTGCTTTGCTCAAAGTAATATCAATTATATATTATCTATTAAAACAATATCTTGGTCAAAGCCCTCCTCTTTGCTAGATCAAGCTAATAAGGGTTGAACAACTGCTAACTTGTTTAATTAGAAACAGAAGATAAAGTAATATTGATACATGTTTTGAATTTCATACTGCTTAAGAGCAGAGAGATAGATGTGGTGGGAACATCTATGGTTTGGGAAACGCTCACACTTTCTGACCTTTAATGAGAATGTATTTTTCTGATTCTTTCTGTGAAAAGGAAACACTGAAAACAGTAAGTATGAAAAAAAGAAAGTCTTAAAGTGAAACGTGGTAGAACTTTCTAAACCTCTCGTGTTTTCATGACACTGGTAAAAGCAGTGTGTAATATAAACACATATGTCGAGTTGTGTCATATTATTCCAGCTTAGTGTTATATTTGAAATAAGTTGTTAGGTGCAATTCATATTTAATATTGTTTTGAAAATGTTTTCTAAATCTTGCTGTCTGTTTAATGAAACAGTTCAGCACTTTTACATATTCGGCAATAATTAAGCATGCAGTGTTCTAATTCAAAAAACAGCAGTTTTCAATATTCTAGAAAAATAGTTTGAGACTAGCATTAGGGTGCTGAGAAACTACTCCTTGAATTAGTACGTTGAATATTTAATAGATTTTATTGCTGAATGCGTCAAAGTTTAAAACTGTTTCATTGTGTTGTTAAAAAGCGGGCATTTGTTGAGCAATCCAATTGAGATGGGGTGTACAAAAACCCCATTGTAAAAGCAAATTTATTTCTGTTTTTTTTTTCTTTAAAGGTGAAGAGAGTTCTTGAAAAATTATATGAGAATAAGAAAATTGCGAGCGCTACCCACAACATATATGCCTACAGGTGAGAGCTAAATAGTGATTTTTCAGGGTTCTTTGACAAGTGGATGCAGGACGGGAGAAAAGTAAAATCCATCGGATTTTATTCTTTGCGATTAAATCTGTACAGGAGAAGGCTTCTTATTTGTATTTTAAAGTTTTTAGGCTTTATTTTGAATTTGAGATCAAGAAAGTAAGACATATAGTAGAAAATATGTTATAGTAGTAAAACAGCATTAGGAATAAAAAGAAAGCCTATAAGTGGATTTGAATACATATTGTTATATTTTGTATAGGACGTGAGAGCATGGAAATGCTACACCATCCCAAAATAAGTGTCTATTATTATTATTTTTTTTATCTGCAAAGTAACTTTTTATTCCCGACCTTATATTTGGAAATGACTGAAATGTTTTAGCTCAAATAAGAGTTAAAACTGAAAGCCTGAGGCAGACATCTGGCATATGAAATTTCTGCAGAAATACTTGAAACTTCAAGGAAAGTGAGAAACAGGTAAAAAGAGTTGCAATGGTCCATCTCTGTCATCTTCTGCAAACATAGCTTATATGCGATGAATAGGTCTCAGTCCAAGTAGAGTGATGTAGGTTTTCTGAGGAACCTAACTAACAGTGAAAGGAATCCTTTCATTCTTTCATTACTAGAGGAACTAGTCATCTGAAACAGCATGTATGAAAACCAATCCATTCAACTCACATTTTAGAGTGATGCTAGTGACACATGAAAATGAGAGCAACTGAAAGCTTACTTCACCAACGAGTCTACTGAAGTTAAAAGTTTCTATAAAGAGAGGGTTTTTATTGTCACTGCTGCTGCTAATCTGACTCCTTGCACTCGTGCTATCTAAACACACTTTAAAAAGGTAGCAGAGACATTCTTGTTGCTTCATATTTTTCGTCTGGTACCATAAGCCTCTGTCACTGTCATGTGTAAATGCAGAAGTTATGAAATCAGTTGGGTGGGTAACAAACAGTAGATCTCTGCGAGGATTACTTTTTGGAAAATTAAGACCTAGGCTGCATTCCTTTGTATGAAACAGCAGGCTCCAAAGGCTTCTGGAGTGCTCCCTGTATAAACCTTCAGCTGTGCCATACCCTGTCACAGCTTTGCTCTGGAAGAAGGCTCAGTGGATAGCATGGAGAATCTGGAGAATCTGAAGCTGAATTTCAGTAATAGTTTCACACTGCTCCTGAAATCTAGACTTAACTAATTATTGACAGTAGTTTCATCAGACTTCTTCCCAGTCCATTCCTACCCCATAATTCGTACTTGTATCTGATAAGAGTTGGTTTCAGCTAAGATTAGGCTGAAAACCTAAGGGTTTTTCTTAATAGGGGCCTTACACTGGTAATGAGCTGGGAGTTAACTTGAGGTAGTCAAAAATATTTGTAGAAGCTTCTCAACACATGTTACACTGTACAGATAAAAATTTGTGGTTTACCCTAAGCCTCATCCTGTTTACGTGTAAATGCCCTTAGTAAGGAAGCAGAATTGATCCACGTGTTTATGAAGGATTTTTGAGACTTCAGGAATCATCTGCAAATGTTCATTGACTGACATTTTTGAAATCCATTCTATTTTCACTTTTTTTTTTTTTTTTTAAGAATATACTGTGGAGATAAGCAGACCTTCTTACAGGATTGTGAAGATGATGGGGAGACAGCGGCAGGGGGACGCCTTCTTCATCTCATGCAGGTTATAGGGATTCAACTTTGACTTCTGGCAGTCTTAAATAGACTTTTAAAATCACAGCAGTGTAAATAAATTTATACAAGTTTATTTAGCTCTTGCTCTGCTCTTTGTCCAATCGGTGATTGTTTTCTCGGGCATGAAAGAGAGAAGTATAGACTGCTGCATGCATATAATAAATTGGGTCTTCCAACTCTTTGATCATAAAAATGAGTACTGTTCGTAGATTGTGTTAATAGTTTGAACAGTTCAAAAGGGAATTAAATTTTGATTCCTATGCTCACTATGTGGTGTAAGTATACAGAAAATGAAGACTGAAATAAACTGATTGACAGGACAGAACAGCTGACCTAAGCTCAATCTTTCATTCAGTCTCCTTGTATTATTCTTAGTAAAAAAGCAGTACTATTTGAAACTGCAGAGTAGGACCTCAAATGGAAAAGGTAGTGTGGATGAGGAAGTTGTTCTATTAATTTTCTCTATTTCTTTGTGCGGTTTCCAGTTCTGGATCCTCAGCCCTCATGTTTGCATATTTCTTAGTTTTCAGGGATTGAAATAATATTCCCTCAGCAAAGTTACTACTAAAAGTGAATTGGGATTGGTAAATTGTGATTCGCTAGCATGACACAAGCCCCTCAGTAGTACCCCAAGTGAAATACCTGAACTACAGGGAACAGCTAAGTACATTTTATGCTGTGCGTTAAGTTATTTAACTCTATGGGTATTTTTGCTTCTACTTTAGATTACTCTCGCCTTCAGAACATGGGTTTTCTTTTTCCATCCTTTTCCAGCTTGCATATTCTCTTGCTTAACGTGCTGTAGAGCACGTTAAGCAACACCATTTCTACCACTTGCTCTTGGAGACTGTTATAAAACTTACTTTTTGATTTCAAAGTTTATTTCTGAAACAAATTGTCAAAGTACTTCAATCAATTATAATTTTTATTTAGAACTTTTTGAAACTTCCTAAGTAACTTAAACTTGACTTCGCAAGCTAAATCTAATTTTGTGTAATATATGCAAGCATAGGTGGTAGGTGTGAGGACTTTATTATAATAAAGAAATAACGTAAAGAAACAACTTTCCAGTTACTGTTCTTGGAGGTACCTGATTTATTCTGAGCTATACTGAGCGCAGGGATTTTTCAGTCTGTTAATGTATCCTTTTGAAAGTTGTCAAATTTACAATGTCCAGGCTCTTAGCACTCCATAGAAATCAAGTTTAGGAAATGACATGAAGTGTTGTCTTTCGTATGTGAATGGGTCTAAATTGAGTGGATCATTTCTCTCCATCTGCGGTCCTAATTACTGGAGTATATTTGTTTTGGGAGAGTACTTCCGTAGGGATCAGAAGAGCAGAATTTCCACAACTAGGAAAAGATTAAAATAGTTTATGGGCTTATTTCTGGGTGTTCAGATAGTTCTTTTCATTTTTCTCGTATAAATGCTTACGAGTGATAACGGGCTTGAAAATTAAGTGGTTTAATCCCTTTATTGCTGCTGTAGTTACAGTTTTCTGCACTAGAAATCTTCCCTTGTTTCAGATAGACCTAACACTTCAGTCAAGATAGCATTTTCTGGTTACAAGAAACAGTATTGCAGATTAACTCTTTAGATTTAAAGTTAGGGTTAAAAAAAATCCCAGCTATGTTTAACATCCTGTTTACCGTGAACAATTGCTATAAATGGACTTTATTGCTGATATGTAAGAGTAGAAAATGCCTGTCACAGAAACTTCCCCAATCCTTCTTTGTATTTTTTACGTTATCCTTTTTATTTTAAAATTGAAAGAATATTTCTGTCTTCACAAACAAAGGTAGAATCTTCTGATATTATTGTTCAGATTACTCATACCTTTTTTTTTTCTCCTTATGGAGGTCATGAGTGGTGTTTATCTGCTTATTGATAGCTGCCTCTTAAGGGGTTTTCCACCTCTTCCACTCCACCAAACCACTATGTAACTTGCAGAGCATGGTATTTTTGCTCAGCTGCATGCAGATAAAGCTGTGTTTGCTCCGTTTGGCTCCAAGCCATCTTTAGGCATTAGTGTAGTGCTGTGCAGGGTCAAAGAGTAAGCTATTTTTAAGTGAAGACTTTCCACAGAGATTTTAGACTTCTCAGTCTGAGGGCCAAATTCAGGATCGTGGTCACTATTCATGCAACGCTAATTTGAGCGAAAATGGTAACTCAGGGTTGTCACTACATGTTTCCATGCAAGCAATATAAATCTAACTTAAACAGTGATACCTGGGCCGTTGTGCTTCCATTTGTATTAGCTTTCATGTGGCTTCCTAAGGTGACTCTGACTGGGCAGTTTCTAGCTCTTTACTTTGATCAGGTATGGCAAACCTGCACAAGCTGATGGTTTTATACAAAGGATGAACTAAACCAACACTAATCGTTACTTGCAGTTTGATCTTTGAGACTTCAGAGTAACTTGGGAACTGGGATTTTTCAAAGGCAGCAAAGAGTTGATATTTTGGCAAGACATACGTTTTTCTCCTATATTTAGACAATTGGTATTCACTGTCTTTCTAATGTTTGTTTGCTGCTGGTGATGGCGATCTTTTTAGGAGAGAATTGCTCTAAGGCAGAATAAATGATAGTTTTCAAGTCTTGTCAAGTCGCGTTTAGATATTGTGAAAAATGAAGGTTGAAGGTCTTCCATGTTTCTTACCGTAAACAGCAGTAAAAGAAATCATCGTTTTACCTTCTGATTAATTCTTTCCTTGATTGCTGATAGTTTTGAAGACGCTATATAACCGTTTAGTTTCTTTCAGTCCTATTCGCTGGGACTGGACTTAATAAATAAAGATCATCAGCATGAAATATGTGTATATATATGCTCTTTGGAATTTGGAAAGCTACTGCTAGGTGGTAAGGGATCATGACTCAAACCTGGAAGATTCAGAGGTTTTGTGTATTCTCCAGATGCTGTTGCTGAAATCCTGCAAATGGCAGCAATACTAGCTATGGCATTTCAAGTATCCGTGTGAACAATGCCTCATTTGACTGTCCCCTGGGTGTCATTAACCTCATCCACCTTCATTTCAAGAATGTGCATAGATGATCTGCTTAGTAACAGAGGTTCTTGAGAAAAAACAATGTGCCATACCAAAAAATAATGTGTAACTCGGTTAGGTGTCTCTATAAATAGTATCTGAGGCCTTTGACGCACGGACGAGCAACTGCAGTGCACGTGAGATAGCTTTACCCCTCTCTGAGGGATATATTGACTCATTCTACTTTGAATTTACTTTTGGGCAAAAGCTCAAAAGGGACACTTAACACAGGGTACCAGATAAAGACAAGTCAACAATTCTGTGGTAACTTCTCTGTGTGAAACAGAGCTGACTGTAAATTCCTCCTAAAAGCACAAAAAAGTAAGTTTTTTCTATGTTTAAGACAGATGTCAAGAGCAAAACTAGCTTCCTAAAGGAAAAAACTTTTTTTTTTTTTTAAAACAGATTTTGAACGTCCACAATGTGTTAGTTGTGGTATCCCGCTGGTATGGAGGTATTCTGTTAGGACCAGATCGTTTTAAACACATCAACAATTGTGCAAGAGCTATACTTGTGGAATACAACTATGTACGTTCAGTGGTAAGTTACTGCCATTTAGAATGAAGGTATTTATATGATAGCTTACATAAACTGTCGCTGTTCAGATGAAGCCAGAAGAGAAGTAATACTAGTTGTCATCCTCTAGTTGCTTTGATGCACTCATTGTAAGCATAGGATCATATCAAAAACTAACAACTGTTTTCCTTTTTCAGATTGCAAAAATTATCGTTGTTCTCTTGTGTAATTTTGTTACTTGTTGGGGAAAATAGTAGTGCTAATAGTAAGCAAAAAAGAGACAAAATTGAAGAAACTTCTAACTAAAAAATACTTGATGATCTGACATGGTGCATGAGATCCCTGTACTATGGTATATTTATTGAAAACCAGTCTAGTAAAATAGGTGATATTTTTCCCTCAAGTAATGTACAGATGCAGATAGGAAAATAAGTTTTCATGAAGTCAACTGCTAGTAGGAACTCCATGTTAAGTTGTATGTGTAGCAGTATCGACTTGAAAGAGACTGGGGTTTGCTTTAAAGCTGTTTTCTTTGACTAACTTCTTTGATGTTGTTCTCATTTCTTCTTAGTTACTATTTAACAACAGAGATGTTTTTCAGGAATGACAGAATTAATATTATACCTTATATGCCTTGTACAGGGTCCACCTTAAGATGAAAATACAGCACAGCTGTGCTTTTCTTAAATATCTTCACAGAGGCAAACTGAGAAATTGACTCCGTGTCCTTGCCAGTATTGTGCCTGCCTCCAGGCAGAGTTGGGAGCTGTCCTTCAGTTCCCATCAGTAATTTCCTGTAGCATTAGGTGGCTTTGAGCAGATGCAGGTGCCTGCTGCCTGTGTTCCACTGAACTCTTGGGTGGGAGAATACAGAAGATAAAGAGACTGAAGTTAGGGACCTGCTTTATGAGTGTGAGGTGTGCAACAGAAGGGTGGCAGCAGTTGAGGAGATGGGTCTAAAACCTGAATTTAAGGGTTGGGGGTGGATGGGAAGGGAATATGCCTCCTCCTGTGCGTGCCAGGGACTGGGACCTGCTGCCAGTGCTTCTCATGGTTACATGTGCCACAACTGCCAGTGCTAGTGTGTAGGCAGACTGAGTGTGGGAATCCCTGTAACCTGTAGGCATTTTAAAACGTCAAAACTTTATTAGACCCAAAGAAGTTTTGATAGTTAGAGAATATAACATACCACAGCTTCATAGCAACAGCAAATACTATTACAAGACTAGGCAGTAGGCACTATTAAAAAAAAATTAAAACTAGACTAGGAGAGTGCAAACTAAGTAACATTAATTATTACAGCAAAGATCAAGGGAAGATGTTTCAAAGGGACCTAAATGACTCGGGAGACTAAGTCCCAAATGTCTTTCAAGGGCATTTTAGCTCCTAAGGGAGCTAAATCTGAAATTTCCTGTTTACATAAAAGCATCTAAGGTGGTTGTGGCTGGATGCTGAGCATTCTTCCCAGTTCTTCTCCCTGCACTTGTCAGTTATTTGCTTTTTGCATTTTAGAGGTGTTTGTATATACTTAGTGATTCCCTTTCTTGGCACCTGGTGTTTTCTTTTGTTTATGTTTTGCTCATACCATAATAGGAAATTATAATGCGATTTTTAAGCGTTTACCCTCAAGAGAAAGTTTAGTACCAAAAATTGCTTCTAATTTTTCAATATTTTAATTACTTCAGTCAGACTGTATTTCTTTATTGTATATTAACCAATATGCTTTGTTACCAATATCCCGTGGAAAAATAATAGATGGTAGTTACAGTAATTACTCTTCTAGTCACATGGATGTGTTCTTGAAGAAGTATGCTTTTAGGTAACTTTCTTCAGAACAGCAGAGTTCAAACATCCTTTTAGGGTCTGTTTCTGTTCCATGCACAAGAAGAAGGAGAGAGAAGATTAGTAAGTCGCAAGTTCTGTGAATTGTAGTGGCAGATTCCCTCATTGCTCTGGGAAGTGCCCAAGATTAATGCCTACTGCGTTTAGTTAGAGTGAACGTAATCTGCCAGTATGCTGAAGTCCACAAAATATTTAAAAACTGTTGACTACGTTCCCCAAAACTTGTAACGAAAGTGCAAAACCTCATACAGCAGTTGGTTTTCACATGTGAAGAAAGATCATGTTTTTCAGAATTGGCAGTCAGAGTAAGTTGTGTGATGCAATGTTGATGCAGTAAGACTGGTAAAGTTTTGTTTTTCCTAGTGTAGATTTGTTTTGCTTAGGGAGCTGGTTTTAATGTACATATCTTTTGATACAGTCACATCCTCACTAGCAGGAGTTTTGCAGTATATTGTACTAGTATTCCTATACTGGTAAGCTCCTCCTTGAGTAAAAATGGCTTAGATTATTTCTGCATTACATGCTTCTGTTGGCATAGGTATGTGAAACGGAAATTTCAAAGAGCTTTTACCCTGCCCAAAGGCTTTGTGTTTTGAGCCTATAATTTTAGCATTGCTGAAGGCAGAAGTTTATAAATAGCAAGGTAAGCAGGCAAAATAATGAAACTTGCTGGTTAAATATTCTAGAATTGTTAAAAACTGCCACAAATAGGAGTGAGTTAATGAACACTATTCCTATTCGAATAAGTCTTATAGGTGACCTTGAGAGAGTACCTGCAGTGTGTTAAGAATGTTGCTTTTAAGTTTTGATTTGCTCGTTTTTTATTTCAGGAAGAATCATCTAAACAAGTGGGAAAGAGCAAAAGGATAAAGAAGGACAACAAAAAGAGAATGGAACATTAATTTATTCTTAAAATATTAAAATATAAATATGTACTTTGCACATATTTATAGAAATGAAATATTGGACAATATTGCCTTATCCACAACAGACATTTTGTATTCAAAAGAAAATTCAGTAAAGCTATAGATATATTTTCCCGTTGTTCTGTCATTTCTTCAGTTATTCTGAAGTGTAGAGCTTAGACGAATGAGTTTTCTGTAGTATATATTTCAGCTCCTTGCTATGAGGGCGTTACAGCATCCAGAATCATTTTTTTCCCCCTCAACTATGAATGATTGATTAAAATGTGGATTATCTGTCCTCTCTATTATTGGGTTGGAACTCAAACGCCTGCCTTGTACTGAAACTTGAGACCCTACTTTCTTGTTTTGAGGGTGAGACTGAAGCCATTAACATCCTGCAAGTGACCTGGTTTTTGAAGTTTTCAGTACCTAAAAGGAAAGCAGATGACCCAATGCTATATGGCCTTGGAGAGCCTGGAGCTGCCTACATGGTTCTCAGTCATGTCTGGTAGAAACTGCTCGGTGACATAAAGGAAGGCTGCGCATGGGTGGTGAACTACAGAAATGTAAAGCTACTGCTTCAAAATTTCCTTAAGGAGCATGCTGAGTGTGTCAGACTCTTGAGATGTTGTTGACCCGCTGAGGATAAGTGTCCTGTAATTAAGGGAACCGGTGATTTCAACAAAGAATATGGAGATTTTGAAATCACAGTGTTACAGCTAGTAGTGAATGTTAATACACATTCTGATATGGGTTGTAGTGATGTAGAGTGGGAAAAAATGCAAATGTTAAAAATACAATCACAAACACTTGCATTTTTCTTCTCTTTTATTAATAGTTTCCAGACTTTTCTCTAATGCATTACAGAAAAATTTAACAGGCCATTTCTGGCAGTAAATCGTTATCTTGATGTTTAGATGAGATTAAAATGTTGTGGGTTTTTTTGTTTTGTTTTGTTCTTTTTACATTGCCATGGTATCTTTCACTTGCAGAGGACGGACTAAATGATCTAATTTTTTTTTTTTTCAAATTAATTTCTAAAATGGATGATCTTTAATGATTAGCATTTGAGTCAGATGCCTTCTTAGTTCAGGTATACCTTACCTATTTTTCTTGTATAGTAATGGCAGTTAGGGCTGTGATAATTTTTAATGACATTTGTGTAGTAGCAAAAGATACAGTATAGTTGCATAATTTAAAAGTGTATTTGTAAGACTTGCTTATATGACCATCAATCTGGTATACATCTTTTTGCCAATATTTTTTACATGTCATTTGTTCATTATAGTTTTACAGTACAGCTACTTCAGGAAACCTTTCCAAAGGTAGACTTCATCTAATGAAAGTAATTATTGCAGTGTTTCATATAGCAAGAGATATTTCTTAACAGTTTCAGTAACTTAAAATGGTACTGAATATAGTAAAGGTGTAGTATGGTATGCCAAGGTAAGTATAGTATACTAGTGGTATAGGGATTTTAGTAACTAAGGTTACTGAAATATATTTAAAAAAAAAAAAAAAAGCTTTTACCATAGATTCTCTGGGAGACAGATCGTGCAGTGATTTATTGAAACAATGTTATGCAGCTACGTTTCCTTGTTCACACTGTTAAGCTCTTTTGTGGTCAGTCAAACATCTGTGCTTGTAATTACAAAAAGGCATTCCTCCCAGGGAAGAAGGTCTGTATACTACCTTATGTAAAAGTCTTAGTATTTCTTGGGTGATACAACTATTTTTTGTTCATAAGAGTAAAAATTTTGCCATTCGCTTGCAGTATTTTACCTACTTAAATATTCCAAAGTTTCTGATGCTTTCCTGAGAGTTTGCGATTGTCACAATTAATTAAGAAAAAAAGCAGATTGATTGCTAGATGTTCTACTACAGCTGCCATTGATTCCATTTCAGTCATGGTAACGTGTATTCTCTCTCCAAAGAGCACCCTTGAAGTTTGAACACTCAGCATCGACAGTGATTCTGAAGGTCTTAGCTTTTGGATGTTCAACCTGAGGTACGTGAAAGCTAGGTCTCTGTTTTTTCAGAAATACTGATCCTTGTTCTCAAAAATCTCTTATTCTAATTATGCATGATGGTGAAAATGAAACCCCCCAAATGCAAGATACATGTTTTTGGTAACCGGTTGCTGCCTTAATGAAATAAACTCACATACGTCATCTAATTGATAAGCAAAATCAAAACACAGTAACTTAGGATGGCTAGTAACAAACCTCTAGAAGCAGGTCATAGAAGCAGAATTGTGTTTGTATTTTCACACCTTTTCTTTCAGAGAGAATACAAACTGCTGGCTAGCTATCCTTCCTGTGGACACATTTGGTTAGAGAAGTTGCATTCTCTTCCTTTTTTTTTGTTTTTAAGCATTTGCTAAGTTTAAACTTCCTTTATTCTAAGAACAAGTTCTGCATGTGGCTTTCCAGAAGAGTTTTGCAACACTGGATTTAGTGCTTACCTTTGAGCGCAGTGTGTCAGTATACTTCATGCTGTAAAGAATCTGCTATTCTTGTTGTACTTTCATTAGTAGTTGTCCTTCAGGAAGGCTGTGTCCTGTCATTTCACTGAATACCATTGCTCCTGCTTTGTTAGGGAGAGAATGTAGGAGCAGCAGTGGTCGTTAAGCATCGGGATCAAAAAATTTAGCACCGATCTAGCTGTTGATAATTACAGATGATAGATACAAAGTAGATGACTGTTTGTAGTCATGATAACCCTGTTATTTTGATAACTAATAGTCATTTAATTTTCCGGTGTTGACAATTTCTCATTTTTGATTTTTGGGTAAAGTTTATGGATATTAGAAGTTTGACCCTCAGTATGCCTCTATACAGAGAAGAGAAAGAACGCTTTGTCCTTTCTCTTACGTATGTATCACTGGTTTTGCAGGTTTCTGTGGTGAAACTGGGTTAAAGCAGAGTCAGCCAAACTACCTCTGACTGTGGGAATGTTTTCACTCTATGTTAGCTAAAGTGTGCTGACAGGAGATCTCTTTTAGATTTGGCACAGCTTACTCCCTTACCAGGTAACAAGGATGGGGTCAGTCTTTGTTTACAAAGAAGTCTGATCTTTAACTTGGAGAGTTTTATAGGAGCCCGTATTCCTATTAAACACATTTCATAAATACTGAACTCCTACTACTAAACAATGTAGCCATCTAATCAATGTATCAATGTAAACTATGATGGTTTAATATTTTACTGCAAATAAAAGTTTTTCTTAAATAAGAGTCTAAAGGAATACATTGAAAATCGACTAAATTGACATAGAGCACAAAGCTCTTTAGCCCAGGAATTAACAATGCAGCTTGAGGAGGATTGAGGTTGTATTAATCAAATTTTGTATATATGAACTAGCATGTAGGATCAAGCAAAGAAAAGATAATGAGAAGGATTTGAAGCAAATTTAATTTTAAAATTAATGTCTTAATATAATTTATACTGTTAAAAAACAAAAGGAGCAGTTTAACAGTGAGTTTGTTTCCAAATATTATGTATTGGTTTAAGACAGGATAGGTTGTGTACACATCCCCTATTTGTGAAATAATTATAAATTTCATTAGCTGAAAAAGCAGGAGAAAGACTGTAGCGTTAATCCACACTTAAAATACAGTTGCCTGTCATAAAAATATGTCCCTAAATAATCGAACAATAGCAGAAAAACGTGGATTGTCACTTTCATCTTTTCTGCCATTCTATTCTGTCCTGTCTCTGTTTTACAGTTCACTTTGCTCTTCAGGCAATGTATCAGAATGCAACTGAAACCTGATTAACCTTTACAGAACCCCAGAATCCTACAAGGTAGTATCAGAATGGTTAATTTTTCATGCTGGTCCAACTGAAGTGAGTGGAGCAGTAGCAGGAGTTTATATCTGGTCTCTGGTAAGAGGATTTTGTTAGCAAAATATCTTCTGAAGAGCTGCCAGATGGTTTCTGTGTAAAACATGAATCTCTGTAGAAGAGTCTGAATAAATTCAAGGCAGCTGAGAAATGGAAAAGAACTTCTATAGCTCTTCTCTTCAAGTGGTGATGACACAGAACGTTTCATCTAAACGTGTTGCCATAAATCTAGAATTATTCCATGCTGACGTATGAAAAGATCACTTGTTTTATTTAAAACATACTGTCTCTGACTTTTAAAAATGAACATAAATGCCTCTCTAGTTGCAGCATAGCTATTTTGGACTATTTGTAATATCTTGATTTTTGTAAAGCCTGAATAATAAGCAGATAATTCAGGGTGGTTCTTTTACTGTTTCCTACACATTCTTGTTAAAAGCCTGATGAAGAAAAAAGGGAAGAGAAAGATGTAACATTTACCTGTGGATCCCTTCAGTGTATCGATCTGTTCTCATGAATTTATTGTCTAGCATGTCTATGTGAGTAAAAATGTCATACATTTTTATAAAAATGTATCATCAAACTCTTTGTGTGCTGCCCTGACTCCAGTAGAAAATCAGCACTTTATTCAGATGTTTTCCTAGCTGGACAATAGCTTTATAGACTGATTTAGTCATAGTTACAGCCACACAACAAAATTCTACAAAACACAACAAAATTATGCCAAAAACTTATTTAACGGATCTGCTCTTAAACTTCACTTACGCTGCTGATGTTTTTGAAAAACAATACTGACTAGCAGAGATTATGTTCTGGATGTGAACAAATTAGTTAAATGACTTCATGACTTAAAATAGATCTGTGATATTGGAGGTATATTCACAAGGCACAGGAGTGTAGCATTCATGTTTTGAGGTGCCCTGCTGCATGCAGACTTTCCAAGCATAGTATGGAAGAGTAAGATTTCTAAGAATAAGATACCTAAGATTTTGAGAAACTAGATAGTTAGCTCCAGAAGACATTTTGAGGGAGGGAGATGGAGGGGAATTAGGTACCTATATACTCCTAGAAAGCACTCTTGAATTTAAGCCGCTCAGTAAGGTCTACTGTTTTCCATGAAAAACAGTGAAGGTGCCGTTTCTCTTTTTGCCATTTGATAGTCCGAGTGCTGAGATGGGATGAATCCTATCTTCTGCTTTGTTTCAGAGGCTGTAAAATCAGGCTTTCTTGCTTCTCAAATGAGCAATCCTAACTAACAGACTAAGGGTATTTTGGAGACTCTCTCTCATATTCTTCTTCTGATGTAGTTTATTAATTAATGCCTAATTTCCCGCAGATTTTGACAAACTTGCTAAGCATTACCTTCCTTTTTTGGGGAGGAAATTGAAGCAAAGACCTAAAGTAAGACACTGAGGGGTCTTACAAGGGGAATCCACTTGAACCAAAAGTGCAGCCCAGAATTTCCATGTTTCCAGGGGATTCTAGGACTGTAGACTTTATTGCGTTAAAGGCAGTGTTTTAATTCTTGTAATAATGCTAGAGAATAAAGATGACAAAAGCAAGGAATTCAAAGTGATTTTTTTCTTAAATTAACTGTTTAGATTCTTTTCCACATCTTACCTTAACAAGACTAGCCCTGCTGTTAGATATCTGTATAGTTAAACTATGGTAATCTGTTGCATGCTACAAAACTGAGGATGTGGCCACTCTATGTGGGAAGCCATTATCTGGGCAGATTCCACATCCTTATTTAGTACCCATAATACTGTTCCAATTCAGTACCTGACCACTGAAAATTTTGGGTTAAGATATGATGAGAACCTGTAGCAGCTTGAGAGAGAAACGCAAGGCCCAAACCGTTATACTAACTTTGGCAAAGAGCTGTAACTGCAGCATTCCAACTCTGAAGTGGGGTAGCTGCAAGTAAGATTAGTGACTTAACTGCCCCTTCAGTAACTTAGCTTTAATGATTTCATCGTAGATTATCATTGAAGAAAAAAACGCATAAAAATTCAGTAAGGGGTTTGCGATTATGAGGCTACAGTTTTAACTGCAGTTGTTACACACAATGGCTTTCTGCATCATGATTTATCTATTTGTGTTTTTATAAAAGCATATTCTTTCTGAGCACAGTTTGGATCTATGATATTTCTGCTTTCTTAAGATTTTTACAGCAGTTTGGTCATAATGGGGCTTTTGGGAGATTGTAACAAATGCTTTTCTTCTAGGACTGGTGGCTGTATATGGATTCGTCACAGGAGCCAGTCTTTACAAAGCCTGAGTGCTCAAGCTGACATCTCTGGCCTCTCAGGGACAAGGTAAGGATCAACGGTATAAGTTCCCAGTAGCAGAGAATACTTAAGAGCACAGATCTTTTCCCATCCTCTGTAGTGGAAAAGGGAGGAGGTGTTATAGGGTATGGAGAGCCCAGTACAGGACCTCCACTCCCACGTCTAAAGGAAGGAAACCTTTTATGTGCTTTCTGCTAGAATACATGCAGTTTATGAGCACGCAGTTTTGAGGGTTAGCAGTGGGCATGGTGTGTACATGCAAGCTGCCCTGGGTTCATTGCTTTCTTACTGCAGGGCTGTTGCTTTGAATGAGCTGTTGCTGCCATGATAAGGAGGTGAGACCAGTCAAAAAGCGCTGATTGTATTAAGTATGAGGAAGAGAGTGTAAGTATAATTGGGGCATGGTACAGTTTATAGAGTATTTGTGTTTTGGCAGTATCTGTGGCAATTTTCTTGCTATTCTTTGGATTTGAATGTAAAGAAGCAATCACAGACGGGACTGTTACCCTCCTTAGAGGCCTATAGAAGCCCTGTGATATCTTTTATTATCAATAAAATGGAGAAGCAAAAGTTCTAAGGGTAAGCAGGTGACTGCTTAGAAGGCAAAGTGAATTAAAGTAATGGAATGTAATTTCTGGTGCCATTTTGGTACCCTGAGCCACAAATCACTGGAGGCAAAGAGAGCATATCAGTAGTTACTACTATATCTTGCCATTTTCTTACTCCCTTCTGTAGGCTGTTGGCTGCTGGTGCACACAGGATGTGGACTTAGCCAAACTCTTAATTTAACCTGGCTTTTCCTCACCACTTATTTTTTTTAACCACATAATAACTTAGACCTCAATGACTTTATGTAGATCAACTTCAGTAGTGCGAGCAGAAGACAGGTTAGTAGCATTACTTAGTAGTTTTTGCCAAAGTGTATTTTCAACATTTTCAGCAGTACCTGGAAATGAAATAAAGCTTAAAGCAGAAATGGACATGTATGCTGTGCAGATATTTGTATGAATAATGAAGTTTTGCATTTCTGTACTGTTGCCATGCAAACATTTAGTAAAAGCACTGGGCAAATGCTAATGAATTTGTTCCCACAGACAGGGGGAACAGAAACGCAGACATGGAAGCTAAAATTTTTCAAATTTGATTATCTTAAATTAGACACGAAAGCGTTTCTAGGACCTACAGTGAAAATGATTGATTTTTTAAAACTTGGGAATATTCAGAGCTCTCTGCAAATGGTATCATTATTTATACAAAATCTAAGCACTTGCAGAAGGCACACCATTTCTCCCGTCAGTGTGGAGAGAAAGGCCTAACCCTATTCAAGGTAATTGCAAAGCTCCCATTCAAGGAGTGAATATTTTGTTCCTTGAGTCTAGAAAGGCAGCAACTGATGCTGTGTCACTGAGGCTGGTAAGAGTTTTACCACTGATTTCAGTGGGAGTTTTGCAGCCGATTTGTGAGGACTGTACCATTACTGGTTAACTCCCATGGTAAGTAATTGTATATGTGTTTACAGTATATTAGTTTTCAGTGCTAGGGTCTGCAGAAAGACGACCAAAAACCAGAAATGCTGATTATGCCTTTGACTGGCGAAAAACTATAAGACAATACAGAGGGACGACTGGCTTATTGAAATCCAATGTCACTAGATAAATGAGGATGAAATCAGAAGTGTAATATAGATTAAGTTCTTATAAGGGTATGTACCTCAGAATAAGAGAGAACTTCAAGAAAAGGTTGAGGTCCATAGCGCTAACAAGCAAAACGCTTCCTGAGAGAGACAGAAGAATGAGAAAGAGTATTAAATCAGCCCTCCTGACCTCTACAGATAAGGATCAGGTTGCATAAAGAAGAGCTTACATGTAAAAGTGAGCTTGAAAATGCTACATATTTCTTATTGGTAGCTCTTACGCAGGTTTGTGTGTTTCAGATGCATTGCTATTTATTAAAATTAGAAAATCTTAGGAAAAAAGGATTTATCTTGCATCAGAACCGTTTAACTCCCTCTCTTAAGTCAGATTTTTTTGGATTTTTATTTGCTTTCTGGTCTAGCCTGTTAAGATTCCTTATGAATCTTAACCTTTTGGATAAATCTGCCAGATGTGAGTTTCTTCCTAGAGTGAACTGACCTGGACGCACAGCATGCACAACAGCAGCGCTGCAGCTCTGCAAACGACTGGAACATGTAACGAGACCGTGTCCCCACAGCCATCGAGCTCGGAGTTTTCGCTGGGTGTGTTGGTGCTCCTGGCTGTCCTTATGGTGTTGCTAGCTCTGATCACAGTCCTTGGGAACGCCTTGGTGATCCTTGCTTTCATAACGGACAGAAACCTCAGGCATCGGAGCAATTATTTCTTTCTCAATCTTGCTATTTCTGACTTTGCAGTGGGTAAGTTGCAACCGTGAAGGCATGGAGTGTTTGTTCTCTAGTAATGTTAAGAGAAGCAGGGGTGCATTTTGCTGGGTGGTTTCTTCTAAGAGCAGTATTTCCCAGCTGTGTGTCTAGGGGAGGGACAAGGAATGGTGGAAACTTCATTAAATGTTTTAGCAGTCTGTTATTTCTCAGAAACACCTTATCATACAAAACGCATCCTTTGTCGGATAAATAGATAATGCTTAATGTTATTGCTTTAGGAAAAAATATTACTGTGTATGCATTGATTCAGAATAAGAAAGGGGGAATTTTTTGTGACTAGTCTTGACTAAAGTCTAGATTCAAAAATTAAATACAGTATATGTTATCAGACAGATCTTGCATACATTGTTGATATATTTTAGTTCATTGTACTGTAACACAATACAGATAATCACCTAAAGTTTTTAACTGAATAGTGATGAATACTATTTTTAAATGTTTTATTGTATGTGGCTCTACCTAGAGTCATACCTTAGGAATATGTGTTAGTATAGGTAAATAAAAATAACAAGTCAAACAATTTGTAGGAAGTTCGATGATTTACATATACGTTTATGTGTATGGACATAGTTACTTTTGAAACTTGTACTGAGGAAAAAGTACAGTTAAAATGCTAGTATGACGTGCAATTGGAGATTGACTGATGTACTGACTTTTTCCATGAAGCGGTGCATATCTGTTAAAAGTGTTTGTTAAAATGTTGTATAGGCAGAAGAATGGTTTTAAACAAGCATGGATATTTCACAAAATCTGTATTCTGACTTACTGCATCACAACGGAATTTTTTATAATTGAAACTGTTTTCATTCTACCTTTTTTATGTTGTATACAATTAAAAAGGATGCTCAAAGAACAGAAGAGGCTGCCTTTGTTCTTAAGTTTTATAGCTACAATAGCCAGCATCAGAAATTGTTATATGCATGGCTTTTAATATTCCAGTCCTCATGACATCCAGATCGTTCTGTACAATGTTTCGATCCCTTCCTCTGTATGGATGACAACTTCTTCAAGCATATACCTGCCTTGTTGTGCCACAGAGATTGCTGTCTGCTCCTTGACTGCATCCCAAGTCTTGCTGAGGGCACTGTCTTAGCTAGTCAGCACCGGTCTGATTCTAGAATACCGTGAGCCTGCGTATGGAAATGGTAGTACTCCAAGCACCTAAAGAGGGGCTGCTGAGTCAAAACACTGAATTGCAGCTGAGTCAAAATTCATACTGTCCCTGTCCCAAGGCTGAGAGAGTCATGTAGATGCAGTTTTGAATCTGTTGTGCCTCTGACTGTGGCATGTTTCAGTCTTTCCTCTTCTGTTGGCAAACTCTCTTCTGCCTGTCTGTGTCCTGAGACCAGAGTCTTTGTCAGCCCAAGCAGTTCTTCCCCTGTCATAGAGGAGTACTTTATGGTAGACAGAGAAAAACCAGCAGCGAACAGAAAACGAACTGACAGAGCGGTGTTCTGTCATCGTGCTCACGTTAAATAAATAGTGGCATCTAGCTGAGAAGTAAATAATTTCTCCTCTCAACTTTTGCATTACCTAACTTCTGTAAAAGTGTATTTCATGATATTCTGTTTACCTCAATGTCCAGTTTCTCATTCTAAGTTTGGTTGAAAGCTTTGCATATGTTACAGTCAAACTAACTGATCTGTAGCTATGTGGCTACATAATTTAGATTCAGGATGTATCTGGACTATCCTTAATTTCTACTTGATCTAATTGCTAAATGTGAGCTTTTTATGCTTGCAGAGCTCTTTGCCTTTTGTTTTATTATATTTAATCTATATGATTTTGACCTTCAACAACTTTTGCTTTATCCCTGTACTTCTGGATCTATAACATATAGCATATGAACAGAGATCTCTTAATTTTTAGTAGAGAGGGAGAATAACAAGAACTGTAACATTTTTAGAGAAATATAGGAACTCTCAAGATAACCCTCAGTACCTGTTAAATGAGTATGCACTGTTTTGAAGTACATATAAAATTGAAATAATCCTCAATTTTTTTTTTCCTGTGAACATTAATATATAACTATAACCTTCTGATGAAAGGAGCGAGTATTAGTTGCTCAACAGATGCAGCGATTCCATTTTACTGCAGCACTGATGTTGTCCATTCTTAGGGCTTGCTGTCCTTCTGCAGTACAGCAAACTACATTGTTAGCTCTTCAGCCTCACAAGTTTGTACTGTAACTAAGTATCTAGTACAGCCACCTAGAAATTCATTAAAATGAATTCACACTGGCACTTTCACAACATTTGGATTTAACAACTTAAATGTAGATAACCATGGGTGCTGATCACGCATGTATGTTACCACTGCTTGGTGCATTCCCATAGATAATATCCTATCAGTTCACTGCTGAAAAGTGGTTATGGTCAAGGGTTATGATCAGAAGAAATGTTAGACAGTACCTTTAATTAATTGTGCAGTTCCTTTAGCTTTTTGGTTATATAATTTGAAAGATTAACATGAAGTCCACATTGTGTTTCTGTAACAGTAAATTCTGGAGCACTTTCAGATACCGTATCATGCTTCCAAGAGGACATAAGCATGACAATTAGACTGTATTTTGTAGAAACCAGTTAGTAAATTACACTAGAAGAAAAAAGACCTTTTTGTTTGCATTTCAGTGGCTTAATACAGAATAGTGTTTACTACAGCACCTAAAGCAATGTCAGTCACTCTCTCTTTCATCAAATGCTGTAAATTTGAGAATAGCAATAAACATGATATGCCTTTCAAGAAAATATTAATGATAAGAATGTTATTGGTGCCTAGTATGTAGTAAAGTGTTCGTCTGCATGAGAATACAAAGCCTTCCACATGAAAATTCCAGTATGTATAATTTTGTTTTTAATCAGACACCACAGAAACGTTCCCATGATTTCATGAGCACTGCCTGCAGTGTTGCCTATGACATGTTCATTTGGTTTATTTCCGTAGGTGCTTTTTGTATACCTTTGTACATCCCTTATGGCCTGACAGGGAAGTGGCACTTGGGAAGAAGCCTGTGCAAACTCTGGCTAGTTATGGACTATCTTGTGTGCACAGCTTCAGTGTTTAATATTGTCCTTATCAGCTATGACCGTTTCCTGTCAGTTACAAAAGCTGTAAGTAGAACATTTTTAATTATTTATTTTATATATAAATATATTTTGAGAGTTCTCTTAAAACTCAGTGTGTTTACGATAATACTAAAAGCTCAACAGCCCTTCATTGTGCGGATTAAAAGTTTGAGCTGAAATAATTCAGCTTTTTGAGAGCAATGCTGGGAAAGGTTTTTTATTCTGAAAACATGAAAACATTATTGTACTGTTTCTTTTCTGGATAAACTTTTGTGCTTCAGTGTACCACAACAGGCACATTTTTTCGCAGAGAGGTTGCCGTGGCTATGGCTTTTCCTAGCGTGTGAAAATTTGCCTAGATATGCAACTCTGTAAAGACTTTGTAGAGACTTGGTAGAGGTGGGCAACTAAGTTATTTGAAGATTTTTTTCACACTTAAGCTAGATATACTAGAAATAAGATGTTTTCTGTCAACTTCCTGGCTGCGGTAGGTGCTGTGGCATTGAAACATGGGGAAATGAAAATGCCTTGCTTTTGTTTTTAGTGTTTCCTTGCAGCTGCCCAAATGGTAACTGTCTAATTACATTACAGGAGGTGGGGGTCAAGGTAGGAAAGGGGTAACTGGAGTGTAGAGGACTTGGACGTTGGTTATTAAAAAGGTGGTAATTAAAACTAGGTTAAGTCAAGGAGGTGCCTGGGCCTGGGATAAATTTCTAAAAGGAAAAGGGGAGATGGAAAGAGATGTGGGATGGATTGACTGGAGAACATGAGGGAACTGCAGTACCGTAGGGGGTGACTGATGTGCTACCAAACAAGCAGTTGGGTGGAAACAAGTCCTTGGAAATGAAAACAAGAGATACAAATATGCAGTGAGGGAAGAGGTGTTTCCTGAGTTTTAGCATTCTCCTGCTTCAGAAGATATCTGGCAAATCCACTGATAAATATTAACATTCACAATTTCTAAGCTGCTACCTGGTGTTTGGCTCGGATGAAAGACAGACATCCTTTTCTGTTGTCAGTAGCCTGTGAGGTTCTTGTTCAGAAATCCTATTCTGATGCCTTATCTCTATTTTCTTCCCTAGTGTTAGGGTTTTAAGGTTTTCTGTTGTTATTTTAAAGCTGAACAATCAAAAAAACCTGTGTTTGAGAATTGGTAATATTGAGAAATATTAATATTGTTGCAGGGCTCAGAATGTGAGAAATGTAAATTAAGAAGGTCTCTGCAACACAACTGGGCTACATGTTCTTACGCATTGATGATAGTCTTTACTGACATGATCACATTCTGTTTTCCTCCTCTACGTAATAAGGATGGAGTAAATCTGGGAATATGCAACATAGGACAAAAGATACCATGGTTCCTTATGGACCTGGGATCTCACCTTCTGCAGAACTAGCATGTGGTCAGGAGCCAGTCATTTCAGACTAAACTTTTAATGAAGCTGCACTGAGCTTCCTGTTTTCTTCCTACTAACTTGAGAAGCTTGTGGTCTTGCTGCAAATTCGTAATTGCAGTTGATGTGAAGTGGAGCTGTGCTCTGAGCCAGTATGGTGCTATAAGATGTAAAACAGTGATGCTTCAGGCTACAGACATTTAAAATATGGAATCTAAAATAAAGCCTGTAGCACTGCCTCACTGCTCTCTTACTGGTAAAATAGGGACAATGATGCTTATCATGCCTTATGCTGTTGTGAGGAAAGCATTCGTTAATATTTGTATAGCATACTGATGCTACACTAATGAATGGCATAGGAAACCCAATGAGGAAGATAATAGTTCTGGATCTCAGTAAAGCTTGAGATAACAAATATTGAACAATCTGGAGGAAATAAAATATTGACTAGCTTCTCATTAACTGATCATCCTGTGCATTGAAGGATGCAGGGGCCAAGAGCTAGAAGAGTGTATTATTCTTACATGGGCTGAAGGGCAGCATTAACTCTTGCATTTTCTAACTTTGGATGACATGATTTTAGTTCTTAATTTAATTAGTTCTTATTTTTTTAAAGATAGATATTTGTTTATGGCTAGAGAGTAAGATAAATTAATGCAGTCTGGGTAGACAAAAAAACGTCAACATTTAAAGTAGACTAAGAGCTGTTTACAAGGTAAAGTGAGTGTTAAAAACAGAATATTTCAATAAAATAAGAAATGTTAAAGCATACACGTGGGATAGATTTTCCGTTACGGCAGGAGGAAATAATATTTAAAAATTAGATTGTCTACTGATTCCAGTCTTTCTTGGCGACCTGTCTAATATAGAGGGCTTCTACTTTTGCCAATACAGGAAGGAAGTGCCACAATTGTCTTCACTCTCCTCTGAGCCTGAGCATTTTGTGAGTCATAAACTGATTTCTTAATATTTCCTTGCTGTGGTTGTGATGAAATCAAACCATATCCTTTTCTCCATAGATTTCAGGTGATAGTTGATCTATCATAATTTCTGTGCTCTTCTCCAATCCCAGATATTAAAATCGATCACAGTATTTCATGAGCAAGATTAATAGAGTTTTTCAGGACCATACAGAAGTGAAGAGGTTCTGGATGTCTGGGAAATTACAGAATAAATAGCATAACTGAGGACATTCCTGGGTGAGCTTCAGCTGCTCAGCATAGCTGTAGCTCTAAGTTACCAAGTAGCATGCTCAGCTCCTTTGCTGGTACTTTTGTGAGTTCCAAATGTTTCTCTAAGGGTATGACATTTTTCTTTTTTTTTCTCACAGGTATCTTACAGAGTCCAGCAGGGAGCGGCCTCCAACCCTGTTGTGAAGATGGTGGCCATCTGGGTCTTGGCCTTCCTCCTCTACTGCCCGACGGTTCTCTTCTGGGAGCGTGTGGCCGGCTACAGCGTGGTCGCGGAGGAGCAGTGCCATGCTGAGTTCTTCAGCAACTGGTACTTCCTCCTGTGTGCCTCCACCTTGGAGTTCTTTGTGCCGCTGCTCTTGGTGAGCTATTTCAACGTGCACATCTTCCAGAATATCCAGAAGCGCCAGAGACATGGCAGCATGCAGGAGGGTGAACCTCCGAAGAGCAGCAGCCTGTCTTGGAGAACTTGCCTCTTGCCAAGGCAAGGAGTGTCGTCTTCAGGAGCAGAGGACAGTGTTTCTTCCTCTATGAGGCCAAAGAAAGTGTCTTTAACTGAAAGCTCACCTCCATCCAGAGGCAATTCTGTAACCCCAGAGAATGATCTTTCTGCTTCTTTCCATGCAAAGACCAGCTCAAAACTGCAGCAGGACAAGAAAATTGCGAAGTCGCTTGCCATAATTGTGTGCGTCTTTGCCGTCTGCTGGGCCCCGTATACGTTACTAATGATTATTCGTGGAGCCTGCCAAGGAACGTGTGTCCATAACTCCTTGTATGAAATTACCTTTTGGCTTTTGTGGCTCAATTCTGCTTTGAACCCATTTCTCTACCCTCTCTGTCACATGAAGTTTCGAATGGCTTTCATGAAAATATTATGTCCCAAAAAGCTTTCAACATTGAGATCACGTAACACGCCTTCTTTTTAGAGAGTTAAAGCAAATGACTTACAGATAAGGTTCCTCTCTTATTTAGTGCTAATTTTTTATATCTTCAACAGAAATACAGGAAAAGCTCTTGTTCACTGATGGTATTGGTTGAGAGTGCAGTAGAGGCATGTACTTGCCCTGATTTTTTTTGTTTTTGCTGGTATTGTGCCAAGATAAACACCATCTAGTGCAAAGAAAAGTAGAACAACGTTTTGCTGACTGTACTTTTGGGGTTGTTTGTGGGTTCGAAATGCTTTTTTTTTTTTTTTTTTCTTACTTTTTATGTAAAAGTGGGACAAAGAAAGAACTTTTATAGATATCTGCATAATGTTCACTGAGGGAGATATGTTTGTGTACGTATGTAAGACCCTCTCCCCGGCCTCGTAGGCCTTCGATGCCCACGGTGAGGAATATGCAAGTGATTTGATGGTCTGATCTAACATTATCTGTCCGTACTTGGTTTTGCAGGACACAATACACGTAAGTTTGTACTTTAGAACCATTTTCAGAATGTTTCCATTATTATGAAAGTTTAAGATTAGTTTTGGAAATTGGCACAAGCGTATATAGTTGTTACTCTTTATACCAGTACTGGTTTTCTTCTGACAGCTGCTGCCTCTTTGATCATGCTTACGTGATCTTTAGTAACAGATCTGTGCGCTATTTGATTACGTAAAAGATAGGCCAGGCTTGGGTAAATGATCGCATGCCTGATGAATTAGCAGAGCAAGCAATACAAAGTTCATGCTGGATTTATGCTTTTGGCTGACTGTGAGAGGATAGACAATGCTCTACCTGGCATACAGCCTGCTAGTGCAAAGATGTTTCATCCAAATGCCTGGAACAAATTTGAACTGACAGAGTAATTTTTATCCTAGATCAGTTCTTTGTCGTGTTATTGTGACATTTTACAGATTTTTCTCTGTCACTGAACCACTGTCAGCTTTGATTTTTCTCTATCACTGGACAAGGGCCATATTCGCTGTTGGAGATTGGGATTCACAGAGGTCTGTCTGAAAGCTGACCGCGGATGTCTCTTAAGCAGCCGTTTAGAAACAATGAGGGCAAATACGCAGCACTGAAAGGAGTAGGTAGATGTGCTGGAGAGGGCAATGGAGCTTGGTTATATCCTTTTCACCCGCCATAATTTCTTGCTTGGTGTTGGATGTTGCAACTCATCCAGAAGGTTTTCATGGGTGGGTAAGTGAGAGTCACCAGTTAATTTTTTTTCCTCTCCATTTATATAATTTCCTTCCCTCTTTGTATGTATGTATGAAATATAGAAAGATAAACCAATCTAATGCACAGAATAATGAACAGTAATAGTCAATTTGCAAAGTCTTATTTGAAATACAAATCTAATTTGAAATTGGCTGTTGAAGTGTTGCAAAAGCAGAGTATTTCTTTGTAAGCACAATTCAAATGCATGTAAACAGTTTGATCATAGCACAAAAGTTAATGACTTTGAGAAACTAAAATGCCATTCTGTTTAAAGGTGTGTAACTGAAAACGTCTTTTGCCATTATTTTTCACCATTCTTGTTATGCTTTCTTGCCTCACGTGGATAGTGTTAAGCATTGTGAACCTGATTGCTGAGAGGTGTACAGTTTTAGGAGGCCATTGATTCAGCACAGCTATTTTCTTTGTCATGAGTTAAGGAGCTGGCATAGATTTTTTTTCATTTTGTTTTTCTGTATTGCTTAAAAAAAAAAAACATTTAGAACATTTATAGAATAGCTGGTGTACTAAGTAAACATCTGTTGAACAGAGAAACTGTAGGTAAGCCCAACTGGGAAAGTATTTGATTATCTGCTTTTCTATCCCTATGCTTTTAGCATAAAAATTCTGATATAAGAGAAATGCTTGCATTTTGTGAATAAAGAATGGGTTGATTACTTTGGAAAAAATGGCCTTCACAATTATTAACTAGGTAAACAGGATCCAAACTTTGCAGCGTGGGAAGAGTGTGTCAGGGAGCACAATGAATGCAAATTGCACAATGGCAGCAAATTTGAAACCACATAGAGTAGAGTGGTGAAGTTACTACAAGTCAATATTTTTTAGATTGTATGTATTACACCTAGTAGTCATTTCACATCATTTTGTCACACCACTTGTGTAGATTTGAAAGGATCGTCATATTTTTCTAATCATATAAATTGTTGCTCTCCAGCACTCAGGGTAAGTCAAACATTTGGATAGTTAATACTCAACAGCATTAAAGCTGTCTTGCCCAATGCGGATTCTAGAAGTCTTCTCCACTCTATTGGACAGTTTTCAGGGTCATGCTAATATGTTTGTTCAGTATTTGGTTTTGGGTGCACCTTTCGTGCACTGACACAAGTGTGCTTTGTTTGCTAAATTATTCCTAAGCAAAGTCTCCCCATCCACTCACTCACGCACTCACCCATTTCACTTTTTCATGCCTTGCATTTCCTTCTGTCTTTGCAGGTGTCTAATAGCTATTGTAAATACATGGTGGGGGCGATAGCGTTTTTCTGACTTACCCTCTCAGGTCTTAAAATAACCTCAGAATATACCCATTGGAGGAAATTTTTTCTGTTATTTTGGACAGATCTTTAGCTCCAGTGATTTTTGTGTCCATCTCCTTTATGTTAGCCTATAATTTTTCTCTCCAGGGAGGAAGGAAGATGAGACCACAGAGGTTTCTCCTTCAGCCCCACCAACAATAATAATAAAAGCAGTGTTCTCTTTGACCTCTTCCCTAATTTTAAAAAGCAAGGGACTGACTGTCGTTTGAGGTCAGTGAGAGTCTTTACTTGTTACGACATGTCTGACATGGCTCCAAAGCAAGATTTAGAATCATGGTAATACATGGCCCAAAACTCTGCACCTCTCCCGTGCACGTACAAATTAGCCACTTTATCATAGGATAGGTCAGGTAGGAAGTAACTTCAGGAAGTATCCAGTCCCCCACCTCATGCTCCAGGCAGGGCCAGCTGTGAGATCAGACCAGGTTGCTCAGTGCTTTGGCCAGTCAGGTCTTGAAAACCTCCGAGAATGGAGACTGCACAGCCTCTCTGGAATGCCTGTTCCTCTGCTTGTCTGTTGTCAGGGTTGAAAAGTTTTTTTTCTTGTATCTGGCTTGAACTTCTCTTGTTTCAACTTATGCCCGTTGTCTCTGGCCTCCCACCATGCACTGTTGTGAAGAGCCTGGCTCAGTCTTCTCCGTAACCTCCCCTTTGGTGCTGGGATGCTGCTATTAGATCCTTTCAAAGCCCTCTCATCTCCAGGCAGAACAGCCTTGATCCTTCTGCAGCTTCTCACAGGGCAAGTCCTCCAGCCCCTGACCATCCTGGTGGCTCTCTACTGAACTTGCTCCAGTGGATCAAATCAATGACTTTTTTGTACTGGAGGGCCCCCAAATGGGCAGTTTCTAGATTTGGTCTACCAAGGACTAAGTAAAGAAGGTGTCACGGGAGGCCAGGGAGGGGTGGCTGAGCCAACCACAGAGCATCCTCATGCTCTGGTCCCCACAGTGCTCCATACTACAAGAAAGGTTCAGGTGGCGGTAGAGGTGTCACTGTCACTTATGAATAGGTTCACAATTAGCAGCCAGAAACAAAGTTCAATGTGTATCACTGGTAGCAATAACGATTAAAAAGTAGTAATAACAACAACAATAGTAGCAATATACAATTAATTAATCAGTAACTATACATTGAACTCCCCACGCAACACAGAATAGGCGTCCCCCTCCAAGCCCCAGGGCTCCTGAGCAGGCTGCACTGGTCGCAGCCTGCCACCGCCACGCGCGCTCTGCAGTGAGCAGGCTGCAGCCAAGCAGGTGTGCCGCTTCGGTTCCTGCTCCCTGGAGCGGGCAGGAAGGGAGTACTCACGTGCCCACCCGTGTTAGTAGCGGTGGGGGGGTCCCCAGCCGCCCGACCCACCCAGCGTCCCGGATCAGGGGGCACGGTGGTGCTGCCTGCCTGCAGCCTGCCAGGGCGGAGAGTTTCCCTCGGTGGCGGGGGGAACCTTGGGAAAGGCTGCCTGGCGTCTTCGAGCCTTGAAAAAGGCCACCGAGGCAGCTTCTTCCCCACTGCTTCAGTGATTTCAGCTCTCTTCTTCTCTCCTCCACCATCACTGTCGCAAGAGCTGCTGCTGGGCTCACGTGTGCCCCTTTTATCCCTATCCCACTTTGGGTCCGCAGGCAAGCGATTGGTCAAATTTCTCTAGACCCCCCACTCTTAGTGGTCTGTTTTCGATCCCCAATTTTAATGCGGGCCTGTCTGCAGCCGGCCGTGCAGACCCGCCTTCCTTCGGGAACATTCTGCCTGACTGACTGGTACGGGCTCTTAGGGAACATACTAGCCCTCCACCAATGATTTTAAATTGTGGTAGTGGGAGATTTCCATGGGCTACCCAGGGTCACAAAAAGGACAGGGTGATTGACACCTTATACCTCTCCTAACTTTGTCCCCTAAACCAAACCTTCCACGACAGAGGATAATCATTTTGGCCTTCTTTCCTGCCAGGGCACATTGCTGGCTCATATTCAGCTTGCTGTTTACCCACACCTACAGGGTCCTTTTCAGCTGAGCTGCTCCCAGCCAGCCATTGCTTCCAGCCAGCTAGTGCTGTCTCATTGGCTGGCTTTTCCTTCCCACGTGCAGGAGTTTCCATTTGTCCTTGTTCAATTTCATAAGGTTCATAATCTCATAATGGTATCTGCCTGTTCCTCCAGCCTGTGCCCCTCTGAATGGCAGCTTTGCATTGAGCATGTTAAATGGTCCATCCAGTTTGGTGTTGTCTTCAAATTTGAAAAAGTGTACTTTGTCACCATCCCTAGATCATCAATAAAGATCTTACAAAGGGCAGGTCTCAGGGTAGGCACCTGCAGTACTCTAATTGTCGCAGGCCTCCAGGTAGAATAAAAATCCATTAACCGCTGCTCTCTGAGCATGACCATTCAGCTATTTTTTAATCCACCTATTTGTGCATCCATCCAGACCCTAACTTCCCAACTTGGATACAAGAATACTGTGTCGAAAGCCTTCCTAAAGTCAAGGTAGATGTCATCCACTGTTCTCCCCTTGTCCATGAATCTGGTCATTTTATCATAGAAGGCTGTCAAATTGGTCAGGTATGATTACCCCTTGGTAAATCGAAAGTGACTGTTCCCAATCACCTTTTTTTCCTCCAAGTGGTCAGAAATGCATTCCAAAAGGACTTGCTCTATAACTTTCCCAGGGACCAAAGTGAGGCTGACCAACCTGTAGTTCCCTAGATTGTTCTTTTGGCCTCTTTTGAAGATGAGTGCGACATTTGCCTTTCTCCAGCTGTTGTGGACCTCCACTGGTCTCCATGACCTTTCAAAGAGCAGCCTTGCAAGAACATTAGCCAGTTCTCTCAGCACCCTTAGGTGCGGGTCCCATGGATTCATATGTGTCAAGTTCTCTCAAGTAATCCCTGAATGTATTCTCACATGCTCCCTGCCCATCTCTCCTTTGAACTCTTTCACTAAGCACAGAGACCTGTGAGACACTGACAGTGAAGACTGAGGCAAAGAAGGCATTGAGTGCTTCAGCCTTATCTGTGTCTGCTGACACTAGATCACCCCCCCCCATTCAGCAGTGGAGCCACATTTTCATTGTTCAGCCTTTTAATACTAATGTAGTGGTAGAAGTCCTCTATATTGGCCTTGACATCCTTTACAAGCTTTCCTAGCACCATGTCTACATGGGTGGACAACATTTCTAAATTCCTCCTTTGTAGCCTGTTCTTGCTTCCAACTTCTCTATGCTGTCTTTTTGTATTGTTTCTCTGCCATGGGTTCCCTCCTTAGCTAGTCTGCTGATATGTCTGCTTCTTTTCCTGAGAATTGGGATGGACAATTTTTATGTTTGGAGGATGCTGTCCTTAAAAGGCCTGCAGGTTTCCTGAGCTCCTTTGCTCTTTAGAGTTGTCTCTCATGGGATTCCCCCTACCAGTTTTCTGAGTACACGAAGTCTTCCCACCTGAAGTCCAGGGTCTGTACTCTGCTACTCTCCTTCCTCACCCCTTTAGGAACTGGAACTCCACTACCTCATGATCCCCACAACCAAAGCCTCCATTGATTACACATCCCCAGCCAGTTCCTCCTTGGTAGTGAATAGCAGATCCAGCTGTGTGTCATCCTTCAGTGGTCATCCGATTCTTGTATCAAAAAGTTGATTCTGACACCATCCAGCAATCTTTTTGACTGCTTGCACTCTGCTGTGTTGGCCTTCCAGCAGATGTCATGGAGGTTAAAGTCCTCCACAAGTAACAGGGTCTGTGATCCAGAGGCTTCCTTGACTTGCTTAAAGAAGACTTCATCCTCTTCCTCACCCTGTTTGGGTGGTCTGTAACACACTCCCATCATGATGTCCCCCATGTCACTGTCCTCTCCTCTGACCCTGACCCACAAAATCGCAACCAAACTGTTGTCTATCCCATAAAAGAGCTCCATACATTCAACCTGCTCCTGCACATGGAAGGAAACTCCCCCTCCTTGCCCTCTCTGTCTGTCTTTCCTGGCATGCTTCTATCCGTCCCTTGCAGCATGCAAGTCATGTGAACTGTCTCACCATGTCTGTCATTCCAGCAATGTTGTGGCTTTGTGATGGCACACAGAACTCTAGTTCCTCCTATTTGTTTCTCCAGCAACCCCCCAAGATGTCACGTTGGTAGAGGGGTGCCCCTATCCCCTGCAGGGATGTCCCTGATAGCTATTACTTTCCTTTTCTCCTTGTGTGAGTGCTTGGTTGAGTCTCAGCTGGCTCTGACACCTCCTCCAGCGAGAGGTCATCTTTCTGACCTCTTCCCAGGGCACAATACCTCTCCTCTTCCTCTTCTAGAGGTCATTCAATGCCATCACTCTTAATTGCTCTTTACAATATATTCCCCTTTGTCCTGCAGCACCGTGCCTCTCCTCCCCCCAGCCCATCCACGTACATCTCTCTTTCCTTGTTTCTTGCCCTATGTCTTGTCAAGCACTCAGCATTACAGCCTCAGTCTGAAAAAGCGTCTGTAGCCTGTCCTGTGGTGCTATGGAACTGGTGAGCCATGGACATGAGTCACGGCCTGCCAACTTCTGTGTCACTCTTACCAAAGTAAATGAAATGATGAGGAGGAAGGATGTGCCCTCTCACAACTGCAAAGGACTAAGAGTTTGACATTTGGTGGTGTGGGGGATTACCTGAAATTACCTGGGAAGCTAAGGATTAAATAGGCCAAGCCTACAGGGTCCTCCAAAGCACACGTGGTTGATCTTCGGTGTCTAGGGCTACACTTGCGTGCTGGTTTGTATGAGTTCAGAAGATACTGGTGATACTTCTTCTATGTGTAAGCTTGAATTTTAGAGGTACTTTAATTATCAGCATTAAGAAATATACATCTCTGTGTTTTAATTCGATAATTCAGTACGTGATATAACAGCAGGTACAACAGTTTCTACATTTTACGGTAAGAGAAATTTATCATTTACATTCTGTTGACCACTAGGGAAGTGAAAATGAATTCTGTTTTTAGCTTCAAGAGAATTCACTGTTTAAAAATGCTTACATAATGCTAATATGCAAACTGCTTGTCTTTGAAGAGAGTTGTTTTCAGACTAACTTTTCAACCTCAGAAGATAAGGATCAGCCTTGAAGAGAGAAGCAGATAATTTATTTTAAGAGTGTACACTTAGTACTGCTTATGGGGAGTCTTTTTAAAGGTTTCGTCTTCAGGCAAAAAGGTGCCTTCAGATCAAGGAGAATTAGCAAGTCCAGATGTAATAACCTGGAAAGCTTGAGGTCCATTATTTTGATATTGTGATTTTTTGGGATGTTTCTGTATTCAACCCATGCTGTTAATATACTTGTCTCAGTCTTTTGGATAAATCTGCCAGATGTGAGTTTCTTCCTAGAGTGAACTGACCTGGACGCACAGCATGCACAACAGCAGCGCTGCAGCTCTGCAAACGACTGGAACATGTAACGAGACCGTGTCCCCACAGCCATCGAGCTCGGAGTTTTCGCTGGGTGTGTTGGTGCTCCTGGCTGTCCTTATGGTGTTGCTAGCTCTGATCACAGTCCTTGGGAACGCCTTGGTGATCCTTGCTTTCATAACGGACAGAAACCTCAGGCATCGGAGCAATTATTTCTTTCTCAATCTTGCTATTTCTGACTTTGCAGTGGGTAAGTTGCAACCGTGAAGGCATGGAGTGTTTGTTCTCTAGTAATGTTAAGAGAAGCAGGGGTGCATTTTGCTGGGTGGTTTCTTCTAAGAGCAGTATTTCCCAGCTGTGTGTCTAGGGGAGGGACAAGGAATGGTGGAAACTTCATTAAGTGTTTTAGCAGTCTGTTATTTCTCAGAAATGTATTATAATGAGGAATACATCCATTGTCATATAAATACTTTTAATGTTATTGCTTCAGAAAAAAGGAGCAACTACTATGTGTGAATACTGACTGGAGGAAAGAGGTTGTGCGCTAGTTGTTCTGATTTAACCTACTCCTCCTGTTAAATTATTCATTGCAGACTTTCAGAATAACCTCACATTTGACAATATAACTATGTTCTGAGACATCTACATGTGTTACATCAAAGTAAATGAATTACTTCTCTACATAGTACTAATCGCTTATTAAAGTATTATACTATAGCAAAAGCGCTCTACCATTTGTTCTTTTTACTGGATGCAACTGAAGGGCAAGCTGTGGAGCAGATGGATTGTCCTGATGCCAGCAACTGTCTACTCCCATCTGTTTTCCTTATTAACCCCCTCTTCCCATAATGTCATTGCAGAAGTACCAGAGAGTTGCCCATGGATGTACAGTAAGGCCAGTAGCAGAGGGCAATGCCAGGACAGGAGGTGGGTGGTGGGAATGCATTCTGCAGCACGCCTTCAGGGTCCAAGCCAGGAACCAGTGCAGCAGAGAAAGCTTTGCGCAAGCATCATCCAGAGGCAGATGTCCCAGCAAAAAGGAAACGAGTTAGGTTCCTAAGCAAGTTCAAAAGCGCAGAAAACTGATTTTTAGAAGGCTTTCCAGTGAGGTCTGCCTGGCTCTTTTAATGTAGCAGCTTCAGTACAGGATCACAAGTTTTTAACTCTAGGTCCTAGGAGCAGAAGTAGTAACTGCATCTTGAGAAATATTATAAAAATCTTCTTCTCTTGACTTGAGGCGAGCAAATTGGTATTTCTGCACACAAGTGCTTCTTTTTCAGGCAGTCACAGAGACCAGTATTCATCGAACCACAAGGAGGGAAGTAGCATCCTCATTGATCTACACTGCTTCTAGCAATACTCTTCAGAAGTACTATTTCTCATTCAGTGCTGAATAGTGAAGCACATTAGTTTAGCCTCTAAGACTTTGCTTTATTTATGCAATTTATGAAAGGCAGTCCCTAATTCTGGAGCTCACCCCCTGGGGCAGAAACTAAATGATGCATGTGCTGAAACCTTTGTTTTCCTGCTCCCTACATGCAGGTGGCTAGAACTGCCACTCCATTGCTCAGGTCTTCTGCAAAAGCCTGTCTCTCCTTGAATTTTACAATTTAGTCAAGAAATTTTAAATCTCACCTTTCATATCGGTTCTTGTTTGTAGCTGGTGCCTCAGGGAGTCTTAAGTCAGCCAAGAGGAAATGGTTGGTTTCGGTATTTTGTAGGCCTATAGACCACCTAAATCTGGGCCTTCATCTCTGCGATCAGTCAGAAAATGCTTTATTTTCTGAAACTGCTGTGTTTTTTCGATTTCTTAGGGAACTGGAATCTTTCCAGACAGTGTGACTCATGTCTTCTTTATCCTCTTATTAGTAAAAGTGAGAACAGTTTCAAATATAAATGCTTAAAGTCTGGTTCTTGCATCTATAGTTATATCTATAGCTAAATTCAGAGATTATTTTTGACGTGATGCCAAATGCTGGTTGATCGCATTGAAGATGGTGAGAACAGTAGCTGTCATCAGCAACTCTGAAAAATGAGTATTTTGTACAGGAGTGATTCTGCTTGTATTTCAAATATATTTTAAGACAAGTCATTGCTATTGAAAGTGCTGCATGCACGTGCCTGTTGATAGCAGCCATTGTTATAAACTCATTGCCCCAAAGACGATTATTGTCAATGGACCACACCAGCCTGAATATGATGAGTAAATTTTAAGATCTGGTCATCTTCAGCTGACATATTAAAAAATAATAATCTGAAAAGCTTACAACGGATCTCAAAGGTGCTCGAAGGTGTAGTTCTGTATTTGTCTCTAGTGGAACAGCTATTTCAGGCATGGAGCATCAGATATTGCACCATACTTTTGAAAGAATATAAGGGGTGGTAAAACTACATTTTAAGAAAGAAGTTGCTGAATTACTAGCTTAAAAATAAAACAAAACCATGACTTACCCATGAAAATAGTTCAAAGCAATGGAAAGATAAGTGGATAAGTGGAAAGCAATGTTTTGGTATTCTGCCTAAAGGCAACTCCTTACTTGAACTTTATTTGTATTGCAATAGGTGATACAAAAATAATATATCTGTCAGCAAATTAGCGATGATTAGTAGAAACTTTTCTTCACCTATGGCAAGAGAATTTCTGTTTCCTGCTAAATAGAGAAAGGAGAAATTAATGGCCAACTCTACTGGTAGCAATATGTAAACTTTTTACATTTGCAAGCACCTACATTTCAGCACTTTGCAACAGTATGAAGTACTACCTGATTTCAGAGAGAGAAAGTTTGGTGGATTTTCATCCTTTCTGTTTTATTTTGTTATTTTCTTTGTGTTTAACACCTCTTTAATTGCAAGAATTTCAATCTCTATTAACCAACCAACCTTTCTCCCGTATTAGGGTAAGTATTGACTTGTTTCTCTCATTGGCTAAATTTCTTTGTTTCTTGGCCTTTTGGACAAAAGCTAATCACAACCAAACAAAAAATAATTATCGGAGTTATCTCAGCTGGAGAACCAGCATGATTTAAAACATCACTTAAGGAGAGTTTCATATCTCTGCTGTGACTACTCTATCTTTGGTAGGTTTACAGATGTCACACAAACTCTCCACTGTATTTTTGCTAACTTAGAAATGCTAACTAAGAAATGCTAACTAATCTCACATGAAAAAACTCTAATTCAGGTAAAAGATTGTAGGATGTACAGTAATAAGGTTACATCTCTAAGCATAACCACAGTGCATACATGCTGAGCACAAGTTACGTATCTTTAGAGTCTATAAAGTTGGTTAGATTGCAGTTTTCTTCTTCAGCAGATCCTTCTTTGCTGATTTGCCCTAAGCTTATTCCTAACAGTCAGCATATACAAATTTACTGAGATTTAATATACGGAAAGTCATCTTCAGATTTCATGAGAATTTAAGAATTTCCATATATAAATTACTGCTAGTATAAATTATTGGTATCTTATTAGTATTTCTTTTTAACTTAATACCAAAATACTGACTCTCTGCTTCCATGAGTACCATTTGCAATCCTGATTTCAACAACTGCATTGTGTCTTTGCGGTTGCTTTCCATAGGTGCATTCTGCATACCTCTGTACATCCCTTACAGCCTCACAGGGAAATGGCTATTGGGAAGAGGAGTCTGCAAGATCTGGCTACTTATGGACTATCTTCTGTGCACGGCTTCAGTATTTAACATTGTTCTTATCAGCTATGACCGTTTCCTATCTGTTACTAAAGCTGTAAGTACTCTGTTTATAGCCTCTCTGAATTTTTGTCTCAAAAATGTGGGATGTGGCAAGGCCAAATCTTGATATTAGTGATATAACCCTCGCTGTATTAGTAAGAATAGGCCCAAATTTAATCAAGGGAAGAGCTCTCAAAAATGTGCTGGCATGTGGAAATTGTTAGATTTTTGCAGGTAAATGAGGTGAATATTCTGCGCTGAGCCAAAGTCACTTGAACAGCTCTTTTCTCCCTATTCTTGCTACAGGCTGCTGTTGTGCTACTAAAAAAAACAGTCTGCGGGGTGAAAAAGGGAAGGCAGGAGTCTGGCAAAAAAAAGGCTAAGGAAAGAGGAAGTTTGAAGTAAACTGTGGTTTTGGGTTGGACCTAAAATCAAACATGGAAGAAAAAGGCACTGGGGATAGGCCAGTGAAGGACACTGGGGATATGCAGGAATCAACTCTTCTCAGCATCTGGAACAGAACTCAAAACTTCAGATGCATGCTCTGCTTTTTGCAGAGCACCTTATGTGTGCCTTACGTCTTAATTCATGCAAAGGATAGAGGTCAGTTTTTCTTTCCAGTAATTCTATTAGCTTAAATGGTAGAGAAAAGTGTGGGAGAGCTAAAGATTCCAGCTCTTTAGTGATCTATGAGAATGTCAATAGGATATCTTATGATACATTTCAGCTTTTGTTTTAATTAATTATAATAATTTACACTATTATACTTGCATTGTTTTTATTAAATGTTATTATTTTATGTTATTTAATTTTATTTCGAGGAAAAAGTCTGAGAAATTAAACACCTAAACATTTTACATTTAAGAAACATTACATTGGAAAGCCAAAGCATCAGCTTTTACAAAGTGCCAAATTAAGAGCAAGCTTTTACAAAGTGCCAAATGAACAGCACCTGCACAAATGCAATTAAGACCTACGGACATCTATATGATAGTCTTTAATGAGATTCATTCATACTTTTTTTTTCAACTGGATGTCTATCTATCTTAGCTCCCAGAATTATAGATTCATCCTAACATCCTGTCACAGTGATGGAGCAGGGTATGAGAGCTGTAAGATATCTGCCTGTTCTAAGTGATATAGTGGAAAATGTGTGCTGGGCCAGGAGCTGGGAGGAGAAGGAAAAAAAAGGGTGATTTCATGGCTTTATCAGCTAAAGGCTGCCCTGCAGAACTGGAGTCTATCCCTACCTCCTCATGATCTATGCAGTAAATGCATTTTTTCAAAGGTGGCTGTTAAATATATGTGGCACATTTTCTGTTGACTACTTTTATGTGTACAGCCCTATTTCCTTGTAAAATGCTGTAAAAAGGCAGTGCACTTGTCAGTGAATGGGAGTCATGCTCTGAGCAACTGTAAAATGCTAATTACACTGGCAGCTCAGGCTGCAGATGTCACAAACAAGGCATTTCAAATTAGGAGATATTTCTGACACTGATGGATGATCATGTTTCATTGCCTGGACCCTAGCACCGTTACATTAACCATGTAGAGAGACACCCCTATGTTATGTTAACATCAACAAATTGAACACAACTGAGGACATTCCTGGGTGAGCTTCAGCTGCTCAGCATAGCTGTAGCTCTAAGTTACCAAGTAGCATGCTCAGCTCCTTTGCTGGTACTTTTGTGAGTTCCAAATGTTTCTCTAAGGGTATGACATTTTTCTTTTTTTTTCTCACAGGTATCTTACAGAGTCCAGCAGGGAGCGGCCTCCAACCCTGTTGTGAAGATGGTGGCCATCTGGGTCTTGGCCTTCCTCCTCTACTGCCCGACGGTTCTCTTCTGGGAGCGTGTGGCCGGCTACAGCGTGGTCGCGGAGGAGCAGTGCCATGCTGAGTTCTTCAGCAACTGGTACTTCCTCCTGTGTGCCTCCACCTTGGAGTTCTTTGTGCCGCTGCTCTTGGTGAGCTATTTCAACGTGCACATCTTCCAGAATATCCAGAAGCGCCAGAGACATGGCAGCATGCAGGAGGGTGAACCTCCGAAGAGCAGCAGCCTGTCTTGGAGAACTTGCCTCTTGCCAAGGCAAGGAGTGTCGTCTTCAGAAGCAGAGGACAGTGTTTCTTCCTCTATGAGGCCAAAGAAAGTGTCTTTGGTAACTGAAAGCTCATCTCCATCCAGAGGCAATTCTGTAACCCCAGAGAATGATCTTTCTGCTTCTTTCCATGCAAAGACCAGCTCAAAACTGCAGCAGGACAAGAAAATTGCGAAGTCGCTTGCCATAATTGTGTGCGTCTTTGCCGTCTGCTGGGCCCCGTATACGTTACTAATGATTATTCGTGGAGCCTGCCAAGGAACGTGTGTCCATAACTCCTTGTATGAAATTACCTTTTGGCTTTTGTGGCTCAATTCTGCTTTGAACCCATTTCTCTACCCTCTCTGTCACATGAAGTTTCGAATGGCTTTCATGAAAATATTATGTCCCAAAAAGCTTTCAACATTGAGATCAAGCTCTTTTTAGAAGGAAAAAAAACTGTACAGATTTACAGCTGAAGAGCAGCTGTAGCTATACTGAATGAGGGATGCAAGAGGCCAAGGTCTGTAAGTAGATGCAATATCTTTCAATAGATTAGAAAGGTTGGACAAACAAAGTGTACTTTCCCCAGCTATTTCAATTGGCCAGATAAAAGATATTGCCTCTATCTTCAAACCTTACCTTGACTTACCCTATCAGACCAGTCACACTATCTTCATTCTGGTTGTTAAAGATACTATTTTCAATAATAGTACAGCTTATATTCGTGTTCATGGATGGTATTAGTTAATAATGCAATAAAGATGGTTATTTGCTATAAGGTCAGTAGTATTCAAAAGGCAGCATCTTCTCTTTTCTCTTTTTTTTTTTTTTGAACAGTTTATACTGCATTCAGAAGCAATTTTTTTCTTACTGTAAAATATTCAGTTAATTTATGATTTCTGTTGTCAGACACATGGCAGGATTCCTTTCTTTCATGATTCTTAGACATCAAGGACAACACAGGGACTACTTTTAAAGATCTTAATGAAGATGTTCTCTGGAGAAAGGCATTAATCTGCATACCTGATGAGATGAAGTGGTGGAGAATTCAGAGCTGTAAGGCATTTATGCATATCTTCAGCTATTCTTTAAGAAACAAGCCTTCTACAGCTATAGTTTTGAAAGATCATGGAAAAGAGTAGCATTTCCTATTCAAAACTGTTATAGAAATCAAGGCCAGGCCCATAGGGAGCAGCATGCTGACCACGGTCGGGAATGTATCTGTGACTGAATAACCCAACAGAGCATCTTGCAGACTTCGGGAATATGTGACCTCCTTGGATCCTGTCTGATTGCACCACCACAAGAGCATCAGCCCAGCCCTGAGCAGGGGGAAGTAGCCTCATGATCACAGGCCCTCGTTCTCATGGGAGACTTCAACCACCGTGACATCTGCTGGAAAGACAACAGCTAGGCAACAGAAAGACAGCAGTCCAGGAGGTTCCTGAAGAGCACTGATGATAACTTCTTGACTCAGGTGGTGGAGAAGCCAACGAGGAAAGGTGTGCTCCTGGACCGTGTACTAACAAACAAAGAAGGACTGGTTGGAGATGTGAAGGTTGGGGGCAGCCTTGGCTGCAGTGACCATGAGATGGTGGAGTTCAGGATCCTGTGAGGAGGGAGCAGGGCAATAAGTAGGATTGCAACGCTGGACTTCAGGAGAGCTAACTCTGGCCTCTTCA